AAAAATACAAGAGACTCCTATCTAGTGCCAAAGATAAGAGCTATTGAGACAATGAGAACCTAAGGCAAAGGTTGAACTCACAGATGCAGCAAATCAGAGACTTAGACCAGAGCTAGTGCTGGGGTCCAGAGCACCTCAGTCCAACACAGGTCTTTCAGCCCATCCCTCCAGGACAACTGTCCATGCCTATTTTTGCTAGGGCGACCACATCCCCAAACTCTTTGGGGGTCTGAGGGACCCTATGAGTGCTCTGAAAGACTCTTGGGGTCTTCAGAAGCAAGAGACTGTGCTGTTGGATCTAGTCATAGCTTTAATTCACTATGCAATTTTTGGCAAGGTCCTGCCTCTCCCTCTGTGCCTCAGTTTCCCCATTTGTTCAATTGGGAAAATCAGTTGATTTTCCCCTAAAGGGCCCCTTCATCCTCTGAGGCTGTCAGGACATTTCCCCTTACATGTCCAACCTCTCTCCTTTTGCTGCAGCTGAGGCCACAGTCCCCTCCTTTGTCCTTTGTGGGGATGGGGGACAGCTGGTTCCCCACCCCCTCCCCCTAGTAACCTTTCAGCCATAAATCCATGCTGAGGCATCTCTCCTCCGGATAAACAGCCTTGATGCCTTTTGGCTGCCCTCATCCTATTTTCTGCTTGAAGCATCAGAGCTGGGGCCCACTCAAGCTCTCTGCAGCTGCCCATGGCCCCAGGAGGGGACAAATTTGGGACAAGCAGGGGCCCAGCCACCCCCAGGGTGCCAGGGTGGTGAGCCCCTCTTGGGGCCTCACCACCTTGCATGTGAACTGTTATGGCAGCCTCCTCCTGAATAAGTCTTCCTGCCACCGGTCTCGCCCCTTCAGTCCATCCTCCACACCAGCTGCCACAGGGATCCAATGAACACATAAATCTGACCCCACTGTCAGATTCCCTTGCTTAGAGCTCTTTGATGAAGAAATAAATAAAAACGCCTTTGATGGTGCCCCAACTCCTACAGGGAAAAGCTCTAAATCCTAATCTAGCTTTTGAAGCCCTTCACAGTCCAGACCCAATTGCTTGGTCCCAGCCGAGTTCCAGCCTCACCTCCCTTTATGTCCCAGGAGGTGCCCATATGGCCTATCTTCTTTCTCCTCCACCTTTCACTATTGTTCAGCTTTCTGTCCCCTCTCTCCTACCTTCAGTGCCTCTACCTATCCCATGTCCCATCTGCTCCCACTTTGATCTGCAACAGCCCCTTCAACTCTTCCCTGCTGGATCTCTTGCTCCTTTTAGTTGATTCTCTAATGACAGCTAGAGTGGCCATTGTTAAACTTTAAGTCATTTATTTTCCTATTCTAACAGATTCCCCATTGTACTTGTAATAAAGTCTAGAGTCCCTTCCAAGTCCTGTGAGATTCTCAATGATCTTGCCTACCTGTTTCTCTCTTTATCCTCACCTGGTAAAACTCTACCTTTATTCACCACAACCAGCTGTACCACCATTGTGACAGATCTCCCATGCTCTTTTCTGCCTCATGGTTTTTGTATTCCCTGTTCCTATTGCTTGGAATAATGTTCTTCCAGTCTGTAGCCTGATTGACTCCTTCTCATCTGTCTGGTCTCATCTCAGATGTCTCCTCTTCAGAGATGCCCTCCCTGGCCAGCCTGAATAAAGACAACTCATTACCTTCCAAAGCATTACAGCTCCTTATTTTCATCATATCACCTACCACAATCTTTACCTTCAAAGCATATTTGCTTGTTCATTTTTTGCCTCCCAGAGGAATGTCAGCTCTTTGAGGGATGAGACCTTGTTTTCATGTCCCATCTTTGCTACTCTGGGTGTCACATTTGTGTTTGTCCTTTAGATTCCTTCATTCAGACATCTTCCTTGAATAACTCCTTTTCCTGGACAATGAGTGTCTCTTGTTCCAATCCTGGTTGCAGAATGGAAGCTGTAGGGTGCGCATCAGCTTGGATTTGTGGGTCTCTCCTTGCTATAGTAGTATTTCAGCTGAGTCCTTCAATATCTTAAAGAAGGAAGGAATTTCAGGTACTGGAGTACATTGATGGCAGATATGTATTTTGGGCTGAGTTCTAAAATCCTGGAGTCCTAGACTCCTGGAGTTGGAACTGACTTCAGAGATCACCCAATCCAGAGCCTCAAGCCCAGGGCAACCTCTGCTTGAGTTCTCTTTGGTGTCAGCTGGCTCACTTTCTTCCAAGGCAGGCTCTTCTACTGCTGCCTGGCTCTGGGTGTTAAAAGTCCACCTTCGTGTGCATCCAAACTCCACTTCCTTGTCCCTGCCCACAGGTCTACTTTTGAGGCCACACAAATCCCATAGGCTCTCTGTGTTTGTTCCAGAAGAGCTCTTCAGGTATTTGAAGTCAGCACCCCAAGACCTTGCAGATTATAGTCTTTGTTACATTTCTCAGGACATGTGAGTTGCCTCTTCATGTTTATCTGAGCTCATCTCAGCAGGAAGATGTCCCTGAGCAATAAACCTAGCAGGACAGTTCTAGACCCAAAATTGGGGTTGGTTTTTTAGCACCAGGTTATGTATGCACTGAGCAGGTAACCTAGAATTTGACCTACATAATAGTTGGTATTGGGTAGGCTGCTGAAGGTGCTGATTCTCCAGGTTAGTTCTTTCCCTAGGAAAGAAGCCTTACATTCTGAGCATCATTGAATAGTGAAGAATTTTTCTAACCCTTTACACTTTCTATAAATTGTTAAGCTTAGCTCTCCAGCCTCTGACCCCACATACAAATTAAAACTCTATAATCTGAACTATCACATTTGGCTCATTCACTTGCTCAGTAGATATAAATTGACTTTCTAGTATGTGCAGGCTCTCTGCAAGGCGCTGGAATACAGACCCAGCTCCTGTCCTTAAGGAATTCCTTTCTAGTAGTGGGAGGCAGGCAAGAAACAACCTAAGTTCTACGAGGAGATTTAAAACAGAATGATGGTCTTACAAACATAATGTTGTCAGGAAGAAGAAAGGAGTACTGTAAGGTTCCATACATACAAATTCTAAAACTAGACAAAACTAATCCACAAAGTCAGGATTGGATTACTCTGGGGGAGAGTGGTGCTGAAACAGGTAATAGGGGAATAAGTCCTCGTAATTCCTGGTAATTTCCATTTCTTGAACAGAACATGTTTACTTTGTAAAATTTATCATAATGTACAAGAATATTCACTGCACCCTGACTATAATGGCAAAAATAGGAAGTGATCTGAAAGTTACCCAAAAGAGACTTGTGGAATTCCTAAATGGGACCTGTGCATTTGTGATTTTGACAGATATTGCCAAATCTGGCTTTTTTTTTTTGTCAGTACCGGGATCTGAACTCAGGTACTGTACTGATTGAGCCATGCCTTCAGCCCTGGGCATTGTATTTTTTTAAGAACTAGTTTTCATGTACTATACATATAGTAAAGTGCATAAACCTATAATGCACAGCTCAATTCGTTTTACAAGGTAGAGATACTTAGCTCAGTGTAGGTAGCATTTCCTGCATCCCAGAGGCCTCTCCTGTGCCCCTGTAGTCATTGCTCTCCCTCAGGGGACCACTCTTCCAATTCCGTCCCCATAGCCTAGTTTTGACTGTTTTTGAACTGTATATGGTTGAATATGTACCTCTGAAACAACTTCATATTTTATTTGGCACAGCTGTGTATTTGGAATTGATAGAAAGTTGGTAAAGAGGATTTCTCTTGTCTGACGTCTGATTGGAATCCTGGCTCTGGAACTATCTAATGTGTGTCCAGTGTCTAAGGTTTTTGGATCCTTTGTTCTCTGCAGTGTTACCAAACCCTGAATGAAGTGATAGACAGGTGGGTCTGGAAGTGCCTGGACAAATTCTGAAGTTCACATTAGGCAAACTGAGTGCCAGCACCCCCAATCTCACCCCTGTTCAGAATGGTGTGCAAGAAGTTGGCTTAAAAAAAGAAAAAAAAGAAAAAGTTGGCTCTTTGTGAATCTTAAATATCAGAATATGAAGGGGCTCTAAATTCCTAGATTTGCTTTGTATTTAATCAAGTCACTCCTGTACTCTGTGGTCCCAGGTCTGTTTTCTGCATTTATCTTAGGGGCCCTCAGACAGACAGGGCCAGGGAAGAAAAAAGCAGTGTCCAGCTGCTGGAAAAGGTTGTCTCACTCTCTGCTTTTCCTTTTCACCTGTCTCTGCCACTGCTGATCTGAGAGACTTGACCAGTGCTTTCCTCTGGGCCCCAATCTCTCCAGATGTATAAAGATTTGGACAAGATTGTCCCAGAGAGCATACTGTGGCTCCCTATCTCTGAATCTCTTTGCTCTCTCTTTCTGGGGCTGTGGGTCTTTTTCTGGGTGTATCAGATTCAGTTTCTATCTCAGAGATTTTTCACTGCCTTGTCCCTACCCCTTAAATCTCTAAATCCAGCCTCCCTGTCTCTGAGTGGAGTGTCTCTCTCTGCCTTTGTGATCCCCTGACAATAGGAGGTAAAAATAGCCTAGGGGCTGTGCTGGTGGAGATAAAAGAGAATTTGCCTTTTGTGTCCTGTGGCCAGGCTGGGGGGGCTGTGACACGTGGAGATTGCTGACATAGCTCTCCTCTGCTGACCTTGACAGCGGCAATAAAAGGGGTAGCACAGCTCCCTGCCCTCACAGTGGTTCTGAGGTGAGTGATCAGGGCTGGGTTGGAGCTGGAGGGCATGGAGGCAAGAGTGCCCATGGCTGGGTATAGGTCTTTCATATCTATGAAGAGGATGCTCTGATGTTTGGGGGTGTGCATTGTGTGTTGGGGGCTCACCCAGGAAGTTCCTTAGTATCAAGCCTTGTGGGTTGGAGGACCATGCCTCAGTGAAGGGCCCCTGGTTCCTCAATTTCTTCTTCACTGCCATCTTCCAGTGCCTGCTGTCTAGGACTGCCTTGAACTGCCCAGTTTTCTAGGCCCTCCTCCACCACCTCTCACCGCCATGATGGATGTGAGTGAACTTGGAGAGTCTGCCCGCTACCTCCGCCAGGGCTACCAAGAGCTGATGAAAGTACACACTATCCCATGGGATGGTAAGTGAAGGCAGAGGGAGAGGGGCACAGCCACAGAGAAGCCCTTATGGACTCCAACCAGGAGTGAGGAAGGTGACACTCCACTTGGGGCTGCAGGGATACTCTGGCCCGACAGCTTTAGCATTGGACTTTTCTCTCAGATTCTGGGGCCTGGAGACTAAAACCCCAGGGACTATGCGTACTTCATTGTATGTGAGCAAATCTTGGTTTGTCCCTCTGTAAAATGGGATAAAACTACCTACCTCCTGGAGTTGCAGTCCGTGAGAACTCAGGCTAGAACCTAAGGCCTTTGAGATGAGGCTGAGTGGCATGTTTGCAGGCAGCCTCCACCTGTCCACAAAACCTGTGCTGGACTTATTTTTAGTGCTTTCCACAGAGCCAAATCCACTGTTTATTAGAGACAGGAATAAAGATTACTATTTATGACCTGGATTGCTCATAGGACAATAATAACAATAGGCAAAGTGTGTCGGAGTTCGTAGTGTGTGCCAGGCCCAGAGCAGATGACTTGACATGCATCCTCTCAACGACCTGGGATGGTAAAGACCAGGGCCAGAGCAACTGCAGAGGTTGCACAGGGACCTATGCTCGGAAGGGCCTTGTGTTTGATTTAACACTCCACCACTACTGTCATCTTGATTTTTTCAAATGAGTTTTTTTTTTTTGGAAGTACTGGGGTTTGAACTCAGGGCCTCATGCTTGCTAGGCAGGTACTCTACCACTTAAGCCATTCCACCAGCCTTAAATAAGTTTTTAATAAGGGAACTTGAATTATTTTGCATCGCTTGTATAGACAATCCGCTCATCAAGTCACTTGACTAGCAAGTGGGAGGGCAGGCAATAGAGCCTGCGGTCTGCAGCCTGAGTCCAAGTTTTTAACCACCACAAAATCTAGGCTTCCTGAAGCTCTGGGGCCAGCTAGCCAGACAGGAAAGAGCGCAGGCCACAGTTAGGAGATCTGAGTCTTCAGTGAAATGGGGAAGGCAGATCCTTGCCACCCTCTCCCCTCCACCCGGAAAGAGTAAGGTGCCTGATATTGAGGAGCTGCTCCATTTAGAACTTGAAGATAACCTTTTGGTATTTTGTATTTGTGGGAACAGCCCAGAGAAAATGAGGGATCTCCCCCAGTTTGGAGGACAAATATGATGGAAACAAGGATCTGAACCTCTGTGTGTAACCCAGACAGACTGTTATTCCAATCAGGAGATAATCAGAGATGTCTAGGGACCCTCCAGACTGTGCCCTGAGCTTGGAAGGATCTTTACTGGGACTACTGTGTCCTGGCAGAAGGGCTTCTGGGAGGGGCACTGCTGTATGGACACAGCTTGGGAATCCACTGGACTCCAGGAGGTAACCCTGCCCCTCTCAAAGTTCGTCTGATCTTCCTACAATCCAGGAAAGAAACGGGTTTGGGTGCCTGATGAACAGGATGCCTACGTGGAGGCTGAGATCAAATCAGAGGTTACTGGCGGCAAAGTCACCGTGGAGACCAAAGACCAGAAGGTTGAATTCCCCCTTTCCTGAGATTAGCTCCTCTGTCTTTGTGGGGGGGTGCAGCATCAGGGGTATATAGAAAGGCAGACAATAGAACCTGCAGTCTGCAGCCTGATCCTGGAAGATCATGCCCCAGAGTGGGGCCCCTGGTCTTCAGGCCTGCGCCTGCGTGGGATCCGCACGCTGGATGAGCAGGGCCTGGGGAGTGTATGGGTGGGAGTGGGAGGTAAACTCAGTTGGTCCATCCCTGTCCGGCACCCTATTACTTGCCTCCTTGGCAGGTGCTGACAGTACGAGAAACCGAGCTGCAGCCCATGAACCCGCCCCGCTTCGACTTACTGGAGGACATGGCTATGATGACGCACCTCAATGAAGCGGCTGTGCTGCACAACCTACGCCAGCGTTATGCTCGCTGGATGATCTACGTAAGCCCTTAGCAGGGAGATGGGGCATGGGGTAGGGGGCAATCCCTAGGCGGGGCCAGAGGAAGAGCCAAGGAACTGCGAGGATGAGGCCTTGAGGGCCCCAGGAATGGGGTTGGGGGGATGGAGCTGAAGGGGCGAAACTGTGGTGGCAGAGGCAGACCTAGAGAAACATCCTCGGTGAATATGATAGTGGCCTAGAGGTAGGGCAGGGTGATGTTTGGTGCAATGGAGCCGGAGCCGGGGCTAGGGGCGGGCCTTGGAGGTATGGCAGCGTACTAGGAGCACAGCTGCGGCAAGGGGCGTGTCTGGAGACTCAGTTGCAGACTGTGGGGGTGGAGTCCGCATCTGGAGGCGGAGCTGGCGTCAGGAGTAAGGGTTCGGCAGGGCCAGGGCTGCCACAAAGTGTATGGCATGGCATATTAAGTGCTTCCTCTAGTACTGTTGTAGGGGTCAGGCGGTGTTGGATCTCACCTCCCCATAACCAAAACTAAAACTCTACCTGTACACCCTTACTTAGACATACTCAGGCCTCTTCTGTGTCACCATCAACCCCTACAAATGGCTCCCTGTCTACACGGCTTCTGTGGTGGCCGCCTACAAGGGAAAGCGCCGCTCTGAGTCCCCACCTCATATATACGCAGTGGCAGATAACGCCTACAATGACATGCTGCGCAGTAAGGCCGCCTCTCTTCTCATTCCCACCCAACACCCCAACCAGGTCCAGGGAAGCCTCTGTAAAGCAACCTCTTCCCTCCACTTGCACCGCCCTCCTTTCATGCTGCTGGATGCTACCACAGCCATTCTGCCTCTCCAGTCTAGAGGTCCCACCTAGTCTTTCCCATTTCTGACCCGCGTTTGGATTGTACTAGTGGCATGGGTACCCCACCTATGGCTGGTACCTCACTTTTGGCTGACTTCTGTCCCTTTCCTTTTCCTTCAGACCGAGAAAACCAGTCCATGCTGATCACGTGAGTGGGGCTCTGGGGGTGGGTTGGGAAATGCTGGCCATTTGGCAGGGAGGGGGCAAATACCCAAAGTCATTTCCCGGGATTGAGTCCAAAGTGCATAGGGCAGGGCCTTTAGCTCCTAGAGTCAGTGTCCCAACTGAAGCTCAATTAGGCCTGAGCATTTTCTCTGCCCTTATTCATGAGTGGGGGATAGAGAGGAGATGCTCAAAAATGGGAGTAAATTCCTGCTCCAATACCATCTATCCCCAGGACCTGGATCTCCCACCTTGATCCTTTGAGGTTCTAATTTTGATTCAAGGAAAGGGAGGAGATCCTTTCTTCTTCCTCCTCAGCATCCCCTCATCCTTCATCTTATCTCTGATCCTTCTTTTGTCTTCTTGGGAAAGTGGTAGATTTCTCATATATCAAGTTCATGTCTAGCCAAGCCAGTATTGACGTTTGTGTAGATATACACATACTTGTGTGCAAAAAAACATGCAGCCTGGTGATTTAGGGCAAGGGCTTTGAAACCAGATAGACCTGGATTCAAGTTCTAATGTTTCCATTTCTTGCTGTGTGCTCTTGGGCCTCTAAGCTTTACCAATGAGAACAATAAGGCACCAGTGATACTACACAGCAGGGACAGTCCTAGAACTTCTGAGGTCACTTTCCTTATTCATAAATGATAATGGTGCCTGCCTGACAAGGTTTTCTAAGGCTTAACTGAGCTAATGGAGGTAGAGTTCTTGACTTAGCACCTGGAGCTAAGCTGTGCTCAGTAAGTAGTGGCATCATCACATGTGTCATATCTCATGGGGGTTCTCTGTACTGCCTTGCTTTGTGAGAAAACATCTAGAATGTTGAACTATCCCTAGGAATTTGAATTTGGGATAATGAGTTGGGAACTGAATGGGGGGGATAAAAAAGAGGTTCTGCTTGAGGGGTGGAGTATTGGGGGCTGGGGGAGCTAGGGAAGCTAGATGGGCACTGGTGACTCATGTTTATGTCGTCCAAGCGGAGAGTCTGGGGCCGGTAAGACCGTTAACACCAAGCGAGTCATTCAGTACTTTGCCATCGTCGCTGCCCTGGGAGACGGGCCAGGCAAGAAGGCAGTAAGACTTGCCCACTTGGGCACTGATCCCCACTTCTCATTGTTTTTTTTTTTTTTCTTTCTTCTCCTCCTTTTTTTTCCTTTTCTTTTTCTTCTTTTTTTAAGTCTTTTTAAAATTTTGACTCTCCAGATCCCCCAGCCCCTGCCTGAGCCTCCTACCTTGGTTGGAGACTCTGGCCTGAGCAAGGCTTGACCAGAAAAACTGGCCACCTCTGGTACTTTGTGTTTCCTGTTTCAAAAGAGTTTACCAAATAGGCTGCTTTTACTACAAAGTGATTGTTTTCTTGATTTTGATACACAAAGCTCCGTCACCTGATGCCAATCTTATCCACAGAGATTAATTAGCCAGAGTGGAGGGCACAGGGCCTTCTTGACAATTGTGTGACCTGTGATTTCTATAAGATCTTTGGAAATTTCCTAAATGTGGGTCTAGTGTTTTTGTTTTTAAGGTACATTTTATTCCTAGTCCAAGGGCCAACTGTTCAGAGCTCTGTGGTTGTCCCCTGGCTTCTACTCATCTATTCTAAAATGGACTGCCTTTTCTTTCCAGAAGCGCAAGCAAGGCCTCCTCCTGTACAGCCCTCACTCCTGGTTCTGTTGAGCCTTGCTTTATTCTGGGGCATTTTTCTTTTTTCTTCCCTTTTCTTTTCTTATATATATTTTTTCTTTCTTTTCTTTCTTTCTTTCTTTCTTTTTTTTTTTTTGGTCTTTTCCTTTTTCCTCATTTGATTTTTCTTAGTTTTTGATTTTTTTTTTTTTGTTTCTCTGTTGTGGCCATTATTGTTGTTGTTTTGTTTTTGCTGTTGACTTTTTGGTAGTCTTATTCTTTCCCTTGCCTATATTGTTTTCCAAACCCTTAAAAGGTCTTTGAAGATGCTGCAGAAAATTGAGTTGTTCTAGTGACAGGAAAAGGTGACAAGGAGAGGCTACAACTGGCAGGGACACAGTTTGGAAGGTCCTGGGGCAGGGGAGCACCTGGGCATAAGGAAGCCCTGATTGTGGACTCTAGGGAAGAGGGTCAGGCAAAGGAAGTGAAGAGAAGGCTGCTCACAGGATTTGGGGACTTACAAGTTGTATTGGTCACCTCCATTTGGCCCCAAATTTGGCCAAACTAGCCAGAGAGAGCCCTGCACAAAAACACTGGAGTGTGTAGGGCAATGGTTCCTGCCATTTCCCTTCTGTGTCCTTCTTCCCAAGCCATGTGTCTTGGAGGCATTTTTAAGTGTTGAGTTCCCTGGAAGTGAATAAATGAATGAATGCCACAAAGTCCCTGCTAGCATATCTATTCTTTCCAGAATCCACTCCTTTCTGCCTTTTCTTCCCAGCCTCCTAGCATCCAGGATAGGGAAGAGAAAGTGGGGAAAAAGGTTAGGAAGGGAAGAGGGATTCTGGGCTCAGTTTTTAAGTCCCTCTGGGTGAGACATAGAAGAGTTGTAAGCATGAGAGAGGCAGGATGCCTGGGTAGAGCTCGCCTACTCCTCCAGGTCACTAGACTTGCTTTGTGGCCTTGACCAGATCAGCACCCTGCTCTGACTGGGGTAAAAATATGTACCTGGCAGGGCCATTTGGATAATAGTAGGTGTACAGTGTATAATGAAGACACATCTAATCACAATAAAAACAAAGATTATATAAAAGGGGCAAAGTTAGGGTAGGAAGATTCAGAATGGGAAGAGGTTACTTTCAGCCTTAGAGCATCAGGTCTTCCTGGAAGAGGGGGAGCTTTGGCAGGGCCCAGGAGGAGAGCAGACTTTAGTAAGGAGCTTCTAGGGCTTGGGGCACTGCATGGTATGGGAAACAAAGCAATACCAGGGAGGCCAGAGAGCAGCAGGTTGAGGGAGAGAGAGGGCTGTGAGTGGGAGACTTTAGCACAGTTCCCTGTCTGAAGCCCTTGGCTAGGGCCATGGTTGCCCCCTTTCCAGCATTTCTTCTAACAGCCCTGGGAGTCGGAGCTGTGGGGAGTGGTGGAGGAGGGTGCTGCACTCACTGTTAGTAAACACTGGGTGACTAACATTCACTGTCCTTCTAACTGATGTCTGCCCTCCCCACCCCTCGCCTGCTGAGCCCTCACAGCCTCTGACATTGTTTTCCTTCTCCCCCCAGCAATTTCTGGCAACAAAAACTGGGGTAAGTGTGGGACCTATGGGAGTGGAGCAGGCAACAATTATGAAGTCCTAGGGAACTGCCCGCCCCACCCCCCTTTACAACTAGAGGGTGCATGGACTGCCCTGGCTTCCCAGTCAGTGAGTGCCAGGGCTGACAGACTCTCATCCCTGATGCCACTAGGGCACCCTTGAGGATCAAATCATTGAGGCTAACCCAGCCATGGAGGCTTTTGGCAACGCCAAGACCCTGAGGAATGACAACTCCTCCCGCTTTGTGAGTGGGTGGCTGGGGGTGGAGCATGGTCAGTAGCTGGGAGAGCCCAGGTGGTGGGAGCCTTCAGCAGTCCTGGCATCACTGACTGAGCTCCTTGACTGAGGAAAGCCCCTCTGCTGCAGGGCAAGTTCATCCGCATTCACTTTGGTCCCTCTGGGAAGCTGGCCTCTGCAGATATTGACAGCTGTGAGTTTGGGACAGGGGAGGGTGAAGTGGGAAGGAGGGATGGAGGCTGGCCTGAGCCTTTCTACTCAAACTCAGCATCTGTCAAGTCCTTTGGGTTCTGCCTGCTCTAGGCATCTTCTCCATCCTCCAGCCAGTTCATTTAGCCCACTTCACCTCTCACCAGAACATCACACTGGTCTGTGCAGGGTTTCCCAGCCTTCACTTCTTTACTTGGTCTTCCAACTGTAGTCCCCCTGATCCTAATCTGACTATATCTCATCACTGCTTAAAAACCTTCTCTAGAACTGGCCATTGGGAAGCTGAGCAAGATTTCCAGTTTTAGGCCATCCTGAGCTACATAGTAAGACACTATTTCAAAATACAACCAATGGCTGGGATCTAGCTCAGTGGTAGAGCACTTTCCCAGCATGGCACCAAAAAAGAAAAGACAAAACCAAACAACAAGAAGCTCTCAGACCTTCTCTAGATCCTGTCACTTGAAGATGGAGACACATCTCCTTGTTTGGCCAGACTTCTTGTGACTAGGCCCCTATCTGCATTCCAGTCTTTTCTTTGGCCCTTGACAGGGAAGGTCTGCCCCCTGTTCCTCCTACATCAGCTTCATGTCTACATCCAGTCTCCCTAATAGGTCACAGGCACAGAGGAGCCCCTATGCTGACTGCTCCCCACCTCATGATGCATGGCCAGATCCTGATGGATAAGCACATACACACTGGCTGACACCAACAAATAACCTAATGCACAGACACCGTGTTCACACCCCACTCATGAGGGCACACACTGACCCATCTGGCCAGAGATACACTCTAAGGTACAGACAGATGCATGACCCAGTAGTAATAAGTGCCAATGTAGACATCCTCCCAGTGCATGCTGGTCTGTGTGTGGATACAACACCTCCACACATTGTCTGCCCCTTACCATTGCCTCCCACTCCTGCACATCCTGCTTTGAGATGTGCAGGAGATAGCAGGATGGTGCCCTTCTCTACAGACCTCCTGGAGAAGTCTCGTGTGATCTTCCAGCTGCCTGGGGAGCGTAGCTACCATGTCTACTACCAGATCCTCTCAGGGAAGAAGCCAGAGCTACAGGGTGAGGGTCAGGGATGTAGGGGAGGAGTCAGAAGCTAAAGAAGCTGCCTGGCTCTTCCTGACCCCATCAGGCCAGGTCCTGGAATGCTGTTCCTTCCTGTGCTGTCTGTGACATCTCTGTACTGTCTGTGACATCCCTACTTTCCTAGAGAGTCAAAGCCAATTCTGTGCCCTCACTCCTTCCTGCAACTTCAGATTACTGCTGAGCCCTTTCCTTCTATGCCAGGGAACAGTCTTCTTGGTTCCATCATCCCACCAAGGTTATATAGCTTCTCACAGAAACCTACTTAAATAACTTCTGCCATCCTGAGACTAGAGGGTTCCAGCACCACAGAGGTCCAGTGACTGTTTCTACCTAGTTCTCTCCCTTGCAAGTCCCCCAAAGTCAGAGTATGGTTTTCCCTATATGTCAGCACCTGACTTAGGATCATAGCCAGAGAGGTGGCTATGAGCAGTGGTCTAGGGATGAGTGAGATGTAGGAATTGGGGCTTGTTTCCTCAGAGAGTCATAAAGGAATAGAAGGTCCTCAAAAAATTAAAAGATAAGGCTTGTGGAGTGGCTCAAGATGTAAGAATGCCTGCCTAGCAAGAGTGAGGTCAGGAGTTAAAACTCTAGTATCTCCAAAAAATAAATAAAATGAGCCTGGGGAATCTACCTCAGTAGTATTCACAAGGTACTAGCAGACAGAGAGAGAGAGAGAGTGAGAGAGAGACAGAGAGACAGAGACAGAGACAGGAGAGGGAAGGGGAGGGGAGAGAGGAGAGAGGAAAGGAAGGAAGGAAAGAAGGAAGGAAGGAAAGAAAGAAAGAAAGAAAAAAACAAAAAGCAGTCAGGCGTGGTAACACATGTCTATAATTCCAGCACTTGGGAGGCTGAGGCAGGAGGCTCATGAGTTTGAGGCCAGCCTGGGCTACACAGTGAGACTCTTTCGTAAATAAATAGCCATGGATATGGAGGTAGGGATCAGGTTCCAGAGAAGTCCTGGGAGGACCCTAGACTCCTGCTGGCTGGGCTTCCCCTAGGACCCACCATGCTGGGATGGGGAGGAAAAGCAGTTTGGAGAATTTCACAGCCTGACCTACCCGTTGCTGCTTTGTGTCCACAGACATGCTGCTCCTGTCTATGAACCCCTATGACTACCACTTCTGCAGCCAGGGTGTCATCACTGTGGATAACATGGATGATGGGGAGGAGCTCATCGCCACAGATGTACGGGCTGTGGTGGGCGGGTAGCTGAGCAGGGCATCTGTGATTTTAGGGGTGTGTGGAGTTGTGGGCTGGGTGGGGATCAGGGAACACTGTCAGGGGAGCAGTCCCTGGCTGGACCCTAGAGGGGCCCAGACTTCTCTGAAATCTCTATGCTTCCTACCACCCCAGCATGCCATGGACATCCTGGGCTTCAGTATGGACGAGAAGTGTGCCTGCTACAAGATCGTGGGAGCCCTCTTGCACTTTGGCAACATGAAATTCAAGCAGAAGCAGCGGGAGGAGCAGGCTGAGGCAGACGGCACTGAGAGTGAGGACCCTGACTCTGGTCTGACCTGGCCTTTACCTCTTTCACTCTGATCACCACGTCCTGTCCATGATCATTAACCCTAACTCTTGTCTCTAACCTTTGACCTCAGTCTTATCTGTTCCTGACTCCACAACTCCAGAGCCTCACTCTCCCAAGAATGATAGTGTGCAGGTCCTGAATTTGGCTGCTCCTCATCTCCCTCTCCTAACTCCAGACTGAGACAGTAGAGCCGCTGAGTGCCCACACTGTTGTCTTCTTCCTTCCTATCCACCCCATGTGTACTGCTAGGTGCTGACAAGGCTGCCTACCTGATGGGAGTCAGCAGTGGGGATCTTCTCAAAGGTCTTCTGCACCCCCGGGTTCGTGTGGGGAATGAGTATGTGACCAAGGGTCAGAGTGTGGAGCAGGTAAGCTGCTTTCAGGCTGAGGCCCACCTGGGGACAGCTGGGGCAGGGTCCCCTCCTTGCCAGGTTTCATCCCAGTCTCTCTTCACCCAGGTGGTGTTTGCTGTAGGGGCTCTGGCCAAAGCCACCTATGACCGCCTGTTCCGGTGGCTAGTGTCTCGGATCAACCAGACCTTGGATACAAAGCTGCCCAGACAGTTCTTTATTGGGGTCCTGGACATTGCCGGTTTTGAAATCTTTGAGGTGAGAATGGTCCTTAAGCTTAGGTTCTGTTCCTTCTGAGTTTTGAAGGGTATGGGATGGTGGGGGTGGGTAAACTTGGGCTCATCCCTGCTCCTCAGTGCCTGCTAAGCCAGGTACTGTCCTCTTGTAGTTTAACAGCTTTGAGCAGCTGTGCATCAACTTCACCAATGAGAAGCTGCAGCAGTTCTTTAACCAGCACATGTTCGTGCTGGAGCAGGAAGAGTACAAGCGTGAGGGAATCGACTGGGTCTTCATCGACTTTGGCCTTGACCTGCAGCCCTGCATTGACCTCATCGAGAAGGTGGGATGTGGGATGATGGCAATGCAAGGAGGAGAGCATGTGCACTTGTGTGAGCAAGCCTGTACCAGCATGGATGTAAGTGTGTGGTTGAGCACTGAAGATAAGCATGTACGTAGCTGTGACTGCGTGTCATGACTGTGACTCATGCACATGGGTTTGAGTGGGAATGTGTGTGCATAGGTGAATAGCTGTGCTGACTGGAGTTCCACGTGAACGAGTGTTGGAGAGTGGGAGTGAGCACCGTGAGCATTTCAGTACTGTGGACAGCAGCCCCTCTTGGTACACATGGTTCTGCAGTTCCTCTGGGTCCTCAGAACTGCCTTGAGCAGGGCAGAGTTTCCTGTGTCTATTTGGTTATGAAACATTACATATATTACATATTACATATATTTCCCCATTGTACAAAGAATAGAAGAAAACTGGCAAATTTGAAAAAAAAAATCCTACCACAACCTGTATCTTGCTTGACTCTTGAGTTGATTTCCTCTGAGTCCTTTGCCCTGGGCATGCATTTTCTCTATGAACACAGACTAAGTTCATACCACTTCTTCTCTGAACATGTATTGCTGAGGAAATTTGAGTATTGCTGAGGAAATTTATTTCTGAGGAAAGCAGAACAGGCCAGGCAGCAGGTGATTCTCCTATCCATGTCCTGACCACTGGGCATTTAGGTGGTTGACAGTTTTCTGCTGTAATAGGGTATCAGCACTGAAGATGGTCATTTTCCCATTTAACACATTAGGACATGGAGGTTTATCCCTATTATAACTAGTAAATGAGAGGGCCAAAATGTGGACTTGGTGGCTTTTTTTTTTTTAAACTTATCATGCACTTGTGTGTGAGTAGTGGATGTTGGGGAGGCTCCTGAGAGTGGGGATAGAGAGGCCATCTTAGGTTTGCACATCAGATAAACAAGGAGGACTGTGAACTGTGCAGAAGGGAGTTAGAAGCCAAACCACAAACTTTTCTTTCTTAGAAGGTGGGAGTAGGTCTGGTCTTAGACCCTCTGGGGAGATGGCTGGAGTTGAGGATCTGGAATGGCTTCAAGAAGAAGGTGGTCTGGGGAGCAGGGGCCCTTCCTAGCCAGGATGGGTTGGCCCTTCAAGCTTGTTCCCTGTTCTCAGCCGCTGGGCATCCTGTCCATTCTGGAAGAGGAGTGCATGTTCCCCAAAGCTTCAGATGCGAGCTTCCGTGCCAAGCTTTATGACAACCACTCAGGAAAGTCACCCAACTTTCAGCAGCCTCGGCCTGACAAGAAGCGCAAGTATCAGGCCCACTTTGAGGTGGTCCACTATGCAGGCGTGGTAGGTGTCTATTGGAATCCCAACTTCAACCATTCTCCTCTCTCCCTACTTTGGGTCCCTACCCTGGCTTAACACCTGTTTTATCTCTGTAGGTGCCTTACAGCATTGTGGGATGGCTGGAAAAAAACAAGGATCCTTTGAATGAGACTGTGGTCCCCATCTTTCAAAAGTCACAGAACAGGCTCTTGGCCACTCTTTATGAGAACTATGCAGGCTCCTGCTCTAGTGAGTACTGAGGGACAAATTCGCCATCCCAATGGGGATGTGGCATTCCCTGGAGTGACTGGGTTCTATGTCTCTACTAGCTGAGCCCCCCAAGTCTGGAGTGAAAGAGAAGCGTAAGAAGGCAGCATCGTTCCAGACAGTGTCCCAGCTGCACAAGGTGAGGCCTAGAATGGGCCCCACATGGGCCCTCATTCTCTCCAGCCTCTACCCCCTACTCTACTCCCTGCCATGTCCCCTGTGCCCTGGGCGGGCGGCCGTTAAGACTTGCAGTGATGTTTAACTCCTTTCCACGTGAACATCACAGCAAGTCTGTGCTGCTTCCCGTCCCCATGCTGCCTGGGCAGGACTTGTGGGGTTGGGGAGGGGAGAGAGTCACAAGGCCTCAGTGAGGGATGTGGTTCTGGTGTGGGAGGGGAGACTTTGAGGTGAGGATGGACAGTCACAAGGAATAAGAGTGAAAGAACAAAGGTGGTGGGCATATTTAAGCCCCTAAGTCCATTCCTCATGGGCCCAATCTACAGCATCCAATTCTGGTTCTCTGCCCCCTCTGTGCCTTCTCCCCACTCTCCCTACCCCCCAGGAGAACCTCAACAAGTTGATGACCAACCTGCGGGCCACACAGCCCCACTTTGTCCGGTGTATTGTCCCTAATGAGAACAAGACCCCAGGTAGTGTTCCCAGGGCTGGCTGCATGCGGAGGGCCACTGAAGGAAGGGAAACAGAAACTGGAAGTGGGCCCCCTCCCTCTTTGAGGTTGTCTGCACAACCTCAAAGTGAGTCCTGGGTCAGGACCTGAAGGTGTGTTCTTAGACCTTTTTCCTTTAACCCCCACCATGCCCAGGGGTCATGGATGCTTTCTTGGTGCTACACCAGCTACGCTGCAATGGAGTCCTAGAAGGTATCCGGATCTGCCGCCAAGGATTCCCCAACAGGCTGCTCTATGCCGACTTCAGGCAGCGGTGGGTAGTTCCTGCCAGCCTGGCTCCTTTTCCAGCTATGCCTTTAGCTACCTTCCCCTGCCTTCAGCTCAGGGAGGGCACATGTTAGAGCCTAAGGGAGAAAGAGGTTCCAGCCCCTGGGGATGAAGCAGGGGTAGTGAGGGGCTGGGAAGGCATCTCTGGGAGATGTGGTAGCTTAGACCTGGGAGGGGCCTAAGGAAAGGCGTGAATAGGCTTGGGGTAAATACGGGAGGTAAAGTCCCCCGTGTTTTTTTTTTTTCCCCTTGGGAAAAGCAAAAATTATTTAATCATAATTATGTCAAAATTACAGAAGTGTCTTTTCCCAAACACATTAGACTAGAAGGGATTACATAAAAACTGGTTTGAATTAAGTGGTAGGATCCCCCATGTTTTTATTCCAGATATAGAATAAGAAAGATAGAAAAAGTCCACAGTGATTCCCAGGTTTTGGGCCTGAGCAACTGGAGAGTTGCTAGTAGATTTATTGATATAGGCAGGGCATTTAGATTTGGAACAGATAGGGGGCTAGTAATTGGAGCTCTGCTTTGAGCATGTCAAGTTGGAAATGCCTTTAGCAGACATTGTAGAAGAGAAGGGAGTGGGGTAGATTTGTTATTCTGGAGCTCAGAGGAGGACAGAGAGAATGTAGATTGGGAAGTTGAGTAAAAAGCCACATAGACTGGATTTCGTATGATACCTGGCATATAATTAACACTCTGTCACTGCCATTAGCTCTCTTTCCCCCTTCCCTTGATAGGTTTGATTTTGTCAGGCCACAAGTGTCCAAGGTTCCTTCCCCTTCCAGAAGTAACTGTGGTCAACACTGTCCTTTATACATGGATATCCATACAAATACTGTACATGTAGGCACATCACACTCTTTGTGAATTTTTTTTCATGCCACTATCAGTCTTACAGACTGCTCTTTATCAATAAGCCTAAGTCTACATCGACATTCTTTTTCTGGCTATAAAACATCCTACAGTTTAGTGAACCACGTGCTTTGTTTAACAGAGTCTTCCAGCATGACTAGAAGCCCAGTCTTAAAGAATACCTGGGGGTTGGGGTGGAGAAGTGGGTACAGCCAAATGTGACTCTGCCCAGTGTGACCAGCCACACCCAGGGTCAGCTCTTAACTCCAGTATACCTTGACCTTGGTGTGGCTAAACTGATTCTGTGTGTGGTCAGTGTCCAGGAAGCCCAGCAGCTCCCTGGACAGGCCTCTAGTGAGGGGCTGTCCTGTTTCTGGGGCTTTCCTTTCAGAGTGTGGCCCCAGCCAACCTGAGACTCATGGCTCCATACACGTCCACACACGTCCGTTTAAATGCACATGCTGGAAACCATTGCTCTGCAATTTGTGATATGGTACAGCAGGTTACCTTCTTTATAGTTTTTCCTTAAAAATTATAAAAGTAGCACATGCTTTTTGTAGAAACTACATCCTCTTTAAAGACTACTGAATGTATTTAAACACATGTGGAGGGTTTTTGGTTTTTTTTCTTTCTTTTCTTTTTCAGACAGGGTCTTACTATGTAGCTCAGGCTGGCCCAAACTCATGTTCTTCCTACCTCCACCGCCCAAGTGATGGGACTGCAGCTGTGCATCACCCCACTTGGTTCCTACCCTGAGGTTTTTGAATAGGATGTGCCCAATCTCCGTCATGCCTCCTCTGCCTTGTTCAGAACGTGCTCCTCTAGAAGCTCTGCTTCTACCTTTGAGAGGCCAGGAATGAGCCCCTGCTTCTCCAGTAGTCTCTTCTGTTCTTGGCTTCCCATCCTCAGTGGCCTGTGCCTGTCCTCTCCTCACCAGCCATTCCCTGCCCTCCTAGGTACCGCATCCTGAACCCCAGTGCCATCCCAGACGACACCTTTGTGGATAGCAGAAAGGCCACAGAGAAGCTGTTGGGTTCCCTAGACATCGACCACACCCAGTACCAGTTTGGCCACACCAAGGTCGGGGCACACTGGAGTTAGTGTTGACCCTGGGTAGGGTGGTCATACTGGGCAGGGTCACATTTTGCTGCGTCCCTTCTCCTCCCCCTACAGGTGTTCTTCAAGGCTGGGCTTCTAGGCATCCTGGAGGAGCTCCGTGACCAGCGTCTGGCCAAGGTGTTGACGCTGCTGCAGGCACGGAGCCGGGGCCGCCTCATGCGCCTTGAGTACCAACGCATGCTGGGAGGCAGGTGTGTGTGGGATGAAGGATGACGAGACAGGGCAGAGCTGTGGCCACTGTCCCTTGGCTCACAGAGCCACCGGGCTCTCCAAGTCCTGTCATGTTGCCGGTTGTCCCCTGTGGCTAGTTGGAGTAAGGGTTTGTTTTGTGTCCCCAAGTCCTTAGCCTCAAAATTTGAATGAGTGCACCAACCACGTTGCTTTAGGTCATTCCAAAATCATGGTCTGATGGGATAATAATAGCATCCAATGTTTTCCAGAACCAGATACTTTATTTGCATTTTCTTGGTTAAAGTAAGAGGCAGCCCTCAGAGAGCCCTCTCTGTGAGCATACCACTCAACAGAGAGGGGCCTGAGTCAGAGAGATCCTTAATAGCTGTGAGTGTTGGGAAATGGGCCTTGGCAGTCTGACCCCAGGGCCTGGTGGCTCAACCACCCCTAGTGTCTTCAGACACTTGCAGAGGCCGCTTGGACATTTGGGGTTCGTGAATCCTACCCTGAAGACAGACCCCCTCAGCCTCCCACTCACACAGTTTCATTAGCGTGTACTCCAGAGGGGTGCTGAGAAGACAAGTGAGATGCCAGGCATGTGCTTCATAGGCTGCCAAGGCGCGGTGCTTAGTGAACCACTGGCCTCACCTTGAAGGGGCTGCACTGGGCCTGTCACAGCGACTGCCCCTCCCCAGGGACGCCCTGTTCACTATCCAGTGGAACATCCGGGCCTTCAATGCCGTAAAGAATTGGTCATGGATGAAGCTTTTCTTCAAGATGAAGCCACTGTTGCGCTCAGCACAGGCGGAGGAGGAGCTGGCGGCCCTGCGGACAGAGCTGCGGGGTTTGAGGGGGGCACTGGCCGCTGCTGAGGCCAAGCGCCAGGAGCTGGAGGAGACTCATGTCAGCGTCACCCAGGAGAAGAATGACCTGGCTTTGCAGCTGCAGGCAGTGAGTAGGGGGAAGGCGAGGGATTGCTCTTGGTGTCTGGGTATCCCTTGGCACTCCAAGAACCCCAGGTTGCTCTGAGGAAATGATACAACCAGACCCATAGCCAGGGAAGTCCTGGAATGTTCTGGGTGCTTGGGCCTTACCTGAGTCTTCCTATTCTGGAGGCATCACAAGACAGGCCTGTGGGCTCCTGTTCCTGTTCAGCCTCCCCAATTGCAATCCTTGACTGTCCATGTGTCTTAAGCTCTCATCACCACAGTCATGCTGAAGCTAAGAGGAACCCCATCCCCTTCTTACTGCCCTTGAAACAGACCTTTGCTCCCATCTCTGGTTAGAGGTCACAGGTGGTAGTACCAGAGTCATAACTCTGTTATGAGGGCAGGAAGGTTCCAGAAGCTCCTCAAATCCACAGAGCCAATTATCCTTTCTTCAGCACAGATTTTGAGTATTACCTATGTGCAAGCCCCAGGCTAATGTTGCTGAGGCATTGGTGGGGACACAGAAATGACCCTGAGGTCATAAAACCTACCCATTAGTGCAGGAGGCTATGTAGCCAGGCAGCAAGGAAACAAAAACTACCCACTTCCGGCTAGCCCCTGAGAGCTACGTTGTGGTGTGCAGGGCTGTGCATGCCAGTGTCGTCCACCTGTCCTTCAGAGGGCCTGAAGCCCAGCACACAGGAGCGGGCAATGGACTTCTCTCCTAGACTTCTTCCTTAGGCCTCCCTCTGGGTTGCCCCTAATCTGTCTAATGTTATCTTCTTAATGGTACCATTTCTGCCCTGTGTATCCCTGTCCGAGCCTTTCAGGGCTTAGAGCAGCAGGTCAAGGCATTGGTCCCCAAGGCCCACCAAGTGTGAGCATCACACCATGGCATGGGCAAACATAGAGTTTCTTCTCCAGTGTGAGGCCTGGTGTGCCTCAGTTGACCTTTCCTTGACTTGGCCCCTCTCCCTGTCCCCTCCAGGAGCAGGACAACTTGGCAGATGCTGAGGAACGTTGCCACTTGCTGATCAAGTCCAAGGTGCAGCTTGAGGCAAAGGTGAAGGAGCTGAATGAGCGGCTGGAGGATGAGGAGGAAGTGAATGCAGACTTGGCAGCCCGCAGGCGCAAGCTGGAGGACGAATGCACAGAGCTTAAGAAGGACATAGATGACCTGGAACTGACACTGGCCAAGGCTGAGAAAGAAAAGCAAGCCACCGAGAACAAGGTGTGGGCTGGGCCTGCTCTGGGGTATGGCCCAAGTCCAGGGACCAGCTTTGGGGCCAGGCAGCTGCAAGTCCCCCTCCTGGTTCTGCTGGGCTATATAACCTAGGGAAAGTCCTTGCTACTAGTGGGCCTCAAAGTTCTCATTTCTCAAATGAAGTTAGCACACTTGTCTTGTTAAGGTGGCTAAAGATTCAGTGGCTTTTGATAAGTATGCACCACAGGGCCTCACACATAGGAGGTGCTCAGCAAATACGAGCAATTACCATCCACCCTGGACTGCAAGCACAGCACTGGCAGTATTGATTGCATCATACTGGAGGGGAGGATGAGGCTGGGGATGGTAGGTTGCTTGTTCAGGTTCTCACAGATGCTTAGAACTAGACCAGGACTAGGAAATAGCTACCTGTAATGCCTGTTGACGCCACAAGTGGCTGACATTCACTATCTCTTACTCTGGGCCAGGCACTGTGCTCTGGGCTGTGAGCCTTTGCCTGTGAATTCATCCCTCACGTAAAAGCAGTAGAGGCTTACAGTGGAGCTGACCTGCCTGTGTCCCACAGTTGGAAGGGGGTGGTGGCTGCTCAGCCCATAGTGTGGGGGAGGGATGTTCATGTGTTGGCCCTGACTCTGGTACAGGTGAAGAACTTGACAGAGGAGATGGCCACACTGGATGAATCAGTGGCTCGGCTGACCAAGGAAAAGAAGGCATTGCAGGAGGCCCATCAGCAGGCCCTGGGTGACCTGCAGGCAGAGGAGGACCGCGTGAGTGCACTGGCCAAGGCCAAACTCCGGCTGGAGCAGCAGGTGGAGGACGTGAGTTGGGGCTGCTCAGGGGGCTGTGAGGGTGGTAGACAGCTGGTGGCAGCTCCAGGCTGAGCCCTGTTCTGCTCCACAGCTGGAGTGCTCCCTGGAGCAGGAGAAAAAGCTGCGCATGGACACAGAGCGGGCCAAGCGCAAGCTTGAGGGTGACCTAAAGCTGACACAGGAGGCAGTGACAGATACCACCCAGGACAAGCAGCAGCTGGAAGAGAAGCTCAAGAAGTAGGTGTGGGGTGTGGTATGGCCTCCACAGCCAAGTCCTCCTTCCCTTCTGGATTCTATCAGTCCAGGGAGGGACACTGAGAGATGAGGGGGTGGGTCACTAGGACAGGGGGAGTGTCCTGCTCTCCCTGGAATGAGCAGCAGGTGCATAGGAGTGAGGTTACTTAGGGCCTCAGGAAAGGGGGCTTGGGGATCCTGGGAGGTGGACGGCAGTTAGGGCCTGGGCTGGCTCATCACACCCTGTACTCCTAGAAAAGACTCAGAGCTGAGTCAGCTGAACCTTCGGGTAGAAGATGAGCAGCTCCTCGGGGCCCAGCTGCAGAAAAAGATCAAGGAGTTGCAGGTGCGTGGGGAATGGGGTTGGGCAGGCCAGGTCCAGGTCAGAGGTCCACTGAGCTGGCTGAAGCACCATCCACTTGCCCACCCAGGCGCGGGCAGAGGAGCTGGAGGAGGAGCTGGAGGCTGAGCGGGCAGCCCGGGCTCGTGTGGAAAAGCAGAGGGTAGAGGCAGCGCGGGAGCTGGAGGAGCTGAGTGAGCGGCTGGAGGAAGCAGGTGGTGCATCGGCTGGGCAGAGGGAGGGCTGCCGCAAGCGGGAGGCTGAGCTGGGCCGGCTGCGGCGGGAGCTGGAAGAGGCAGCCCTGCGGCATGAGGCGACTGTAGCTGCCCTGCGACGCAAGCAGGCAGATGGTGCAACTGAGCTGGGGGAGCAGGTGGACAGCCTGCAGCGAGTTCGGCAAAAGCTGGAAAAGGAAAAGAGTGAGCTGCGCATGGAGGTGGACGATCTGGGTGCCAGTGTGGAGACTCTGGCCCGAGGCAAGGTGTCTGCTTCTTTCCTGAACTGACCTCTGACCCCTCCTGACCCCACCCTCTGACCTCTGATCACACTGTGCCAATACTAACCCCATAGCAGCATCCCATTAACTGGCATCCAACTCCCAGCCCCTTTCTAGTCCTAACCCTGACTCCTAAACTATTCCCTAGCTCCAGATCATCTTGACTCAGCATCCAATTCTAACCTCAAGTCCCTTGACCCAACAATGGTGTAATCCAGCCCTTGATTCTGACATAACACCTTGTCCTGACTCTGTGCCTGTCCTAAGCCCCAGTACCCAAACTTGACCCCTGACCACTGCCTGTACCAGATCTGGTATCCTAACACTCTACTGAGTTGGCTTTGGGATGGACTCAGCCTCTTATTTCTGAGGCCCCTGGTAAAGCTATGAGCCCAGCCCTGAACCTGATCTTTTTGATTCCTGGGGTCTAATTTTCTAGTTCCTGATCCCAGGTCCCAGTTTTTGACTAGCAGCCCTAGAGCTTGTCCTCTAATGCACAAACTTTTCTTGACCCCCTGACTCTGGGCCCCAGGCCAGTGCAGAGAAGCTGTGCCGGGCCTATGAGGATCAACTAAGCGAGGCCAAGATCAAGGTGGAGGAGCTGCAACGGCAGCTGGCAGACGCAAGCACCCAGCGAGGGAGGCTGCAAACTGAGAATGGTAAAGCCAGGGCTCAGTTGGGTCACACCTGGGTAGGCGCTGCCTCTCATGGACCTGACTTGCCTGCTGGCCCCTTCATCTGCAGGGGAGTTGGGCCGCCTGTTAGAAGAGAAGGAGTCTTTGATCAGCCAGCTGAGTCGTGGGAAGGCCTCAGCTGCCCAGAGCCTGGAGGAACTGCGGAGGCAGCTGGAGGAGGAGAGCAAGGTGGGCTGGCACTAGTGACTGTGGGCAGGTGAGCACTGTGGCCATTGGCCTGGACCCATGCTGAGGTCACTGGTGTCCCTGCAGGCCAAGAGTGCGTTGGCCCATGCTGTGCAGGCTTTGAGGCATGACTGTGACCTCCTGCGGGAGCAGCATGAGGAGGAGGCTGAGGCCCAGGCTGAGCTGCAGCGGCTGCTGTCCAAGGCCAATGCTGAGGTAGCACAGTGGAGGAGCAAGTACGAAGCAGATGCCATCCAGAGGACTGAGGAACTGGAGGAGGCCAAGTGAGTGGCTGGGAGCCAGGCCATCACCACGAGATGTTTACACCTATGCCTTTGTGCCCTGTGGGGGGGAGGAGGTGAGGGTTGATGCTGCAGGTTCTCCTGCTGGCTCCACTCCTTTCACAGTCCACACCCTCTGGTTTATGGCTCAGGAAGAAGCTGGCTCTGCGGCTACAGGAGGCAGAGGAAGGTGTAGAGGCTGCAAATGCTAAGTGCTCATCATTGGAGAAAGCCAAGCTGCGACTGCAAACAGAGTCAGAGGATGTGACTCTGGAGCTGGAGCGGGCAACCTCAGCAGCAGCTGCACTGGACAAGAAGCAGCGGCACTTAGAGAGGGCTCTGGAGGAGCGAAGGCGACAGGAGGAGGAGACACAGCGGGAGCTGGAGGCGGCACAGAGGGAGGCCCGTGGCCTGGGCACGGAGCTCTTCCGACTGAGGCACAGCCATGAGGAGGCCCTGGAGGCCCTGGAGACACTCAAGCGGGAGAACAAGAATCTGCAGGGTAGGATTTGGGGTCTGGAGCACCTAGGGTCGCCCTGAAATTAGGACTAAAGTAAGTGACCTGAGTCAGGGCACAAGCAATGAGAGTGGCCCCTCAGCAACTTTTCTACTCTATAGAAGAGATCAGCGACCTCACAGACCAGGTCAGCCTCAGTGGGAAGAGTATCCAGGAATTGGAGAAAGCCAAGAAAGCACTAGAAGGGGAGAAGAGCGAGCTCCAAGCTGCACTAGAGGAGGCAGAGGTCAGAGCTGACTAAAGGGGTGGGTGGGGTGGGTACTGACCCACAGCTCCCTGAACTCTCTGCTCCATCCTCACTTCATACTACCTGTTGTGTGTTCCCAGGGGGCCCTGGAGCTGGAGGAGACTAAGACTCTGCGGATCCAACTGGAGTTGTCCCAGATTAAGGCAGAAGTAGACCGGAAGCTGGCGGAGAAGGATGAGGAGTGCACTAACCTGAGGTCTGTGCAAAGCAGCGTTGCTATGCCCATAGTGGCACACAGGCACAGACAGTTTGTCACATGGCTTTCTCGGCTGAGGTGGCTGTCCCCATTTTAGAGATGAACCTCCATGAGGCTAAAGGACACACAGTGGGACAGCCTGTCTCTGGCCTCACTCTTGTCTGTGAACTTACTCTGATGGGCAACAGCCAGCCACGGGAGCGCTAAAGCTGGGGTGATTCAATTGTTCCCCAAATGGGTTCCTGTCTCCAGCAGTCTGTGGGCGTTTGTGGCTGGTGGTGTGAAGAGTGAAGGACCAGGAGAAGCCAACTCCTTTCTGGGAATGGGACCAGAGTGCCTGTGGCACTACCTTCTCACAGGCCAAGCTGACCCTTCATTCTGCTCTCTCACAGGCGCAACCACCAGCGAGCAGTGGAGTCCCTGCAGGCCTCTCTGGATGCAGAGACCCGGGCCCGCAATGAGGCACTGCGGCTCAAGAAGAAGATGGAGGGTGACCTCAATGATCTAGAGCTGCAGCTGGGCCATGCCACCCGCCAGGCCATGGAGGCACAGGCAGCCACACGGCTGCTCCAGGCCCAATTGAAGGAGGAGCAGGCAGGACGTGATGAGGAGCAGCGGCTGGCTGCTGAGCTCCGTGAGCAGGCACAGGCCCTGGAGCGCAGGGCTGCATTGCTGGCTGCTGAGCTGGAAGAGCTGCGGGCTGCCCTTGAACAGGGCGAGCGCAGCCGGCGGCTGGCGGAGCAGGAGCTGTTGGAGGCCACAGAGCGCCTCAACCTCCTGCATTCACAGGTGGGGCAGGGTAAGGGTGTATTCAGGGATGGGGGCAGAGGCTTGCTGGCCAGCTAAGGCTCTGCTTCTCTCCAGAACACTGGCCTCTTGAACCAAAAAAAGAAGCTGGAGGTAGACTTGGCCCAGCTGAGTGGGGAGATGGAGGAGGCTGCTCAGGAGAGGCGGGAAGCTGAGGAGAAGGCCAAGAAGGCCATCACTGATGTGAGGCTGGGCTAGGGCTGTGTATGTGTGCACACAGAACCAAAAGGGACTTCCCTGAGGCCTGTTCTCTCCCGATCATGCCAATTCCTTTCCCACAGGCAGCCATGATGGCTGAGGAGCTGAAGAAGGAGCAGGACACCAGTGCACACCTGGAACGGATGAAGAAGACTCTGGAACAGACGGTGCGGGAGCTGCAGGCACGCCTGGAAGAGGCAGAACAGGCTGCCCTCCGGGGTGGGAAGAAGCAGGTGCAGAAGTTGGAGGCCAAGGTGTGTGTGGTTGTGGCTCTGCCAGTTCTTCCCCAGCCAGGCTGCTGGCGGCTGGGACAGCAGGCCCACCCTCTGGCTGTCTGCAGGTGCGGGAGCTGGAGGCTGAGCTTGATGCAGAACAGAAGAAGCATGCTGAGGCCCTCAAGGGTGTGCGCAAACATGAGCGCAGGGTCAAGGAGCTTGCGTACCAGGTGTGTACTGGAGTCCATCCTGGGGAGGGTGAAGGGAAGAGCCCTGGAACTGGCCCAGTCTAGAAAAACCCAGAATCCCTTTTGCTTGCCTAGGCCGAGGAGGACAGGAAGAACCTTGCTCGCATGCAGGACCTGGTGGACAAGCTGCAGAGCAAGGTCAAGAGCTACAAGCGTCAGTTTGAGGAGGCGGTAAGCACAAGGGTCTGGATGCCTGGGAATGGTCAGGATGCCAGGGGAAAACCACTTGCAGCTGTGGCTGGGTGAGGCATCAGCAAGCAGACTGCCCTAAAGGGCCGCAGCCCCATCCTCTGAGCCCCAGCAGAAAAAAGAAGTCCCTAAAAGCTCTAGAAGAGAGAAGCTCCTTCTTTGTCCCATGTACTTTCTCCTGGCCAGGCCTGGGATGACCTCCGATGGGCAGGTTGGCACTCAGGCACCTCTTAAAGGATTCATTTCCTTCTTCCTGCTGTGTGTTCTGGTGAGGGGTGAGGCTGGTGGGAGGAAGAGTGGAGAACCAGGAGAAGATAGCTCTCTTCTGGGGATGGGACCAGAGCAACCATTTCAATTTCTAAAGAGGAACCAAGTCCCTGTTTGTGTCCCCAGGAGCAGCAAGCCAGCACCAATCTGGCCAAATATCGCAAGGCCCAGCATGAGTTGGATGATGCAGAGGAGCGGGCAGATATGGCAGAGACCCAGGCCAATAAGCTGCGAGCACGGACCCGGGATGCCTTAGGCCCCAAGGTGAAGGGTTTAGAAGGGCACCGACTTCCATATAGGGTGCATGTTGTGGGGGGACAGGCGATGCAGCTCACTCAGCCTCCCTTACCTCTTAGCACAAGGAGTGACAGCTTGAGTCGCATGCCCCTGAACGCTGAAGAGGGATATCCGCTGTGATCCTGTGGTCTCTTCATCCTCACCTGCTGCCACTCCGCCCTCCCCAAGCCTGGAACACCCTGAATAAACATCATGTCTGCAGCAACAGATGGTGTCCTTCTCATTTCTTGAGGTTCCAAGGGAGAGGGGAACACACAGTCCCACGGACAAAGTCAGGTCCACATCAGTCATTTAAAATAAAGTTCTTTAATAGTCTCCATTTAATTGGTTTATTTGCTGTTAATAAATTGGCAACACAGGAGGGGCCAAAGATGAGCTCCCAGCCAGGCTCCTGTGTCTGGGCTCAGGCAGGAGATGCTGCCCTGGAGGCAGAGCAGGCATGGCCACTCAGTGCCCCAAGGGATGAAGAGAGAAGGCCCCTCACTTCTGGGGGAACCCCCTGGGATGAACGCAGTGGCCAATGAGCGAACAGAACCAGAGGAGCTAAAGGGGGAGGAGGGAGGAGGGGAGGAGGAGGAGGAGGAGGAGGAGGAGGAGGAGGGAGGAGGAGGAGGGAGGAGAGATGGGCAGGCCTGAGGGAAGGCAGCATTCTGCACCCCTGCCCGGGGCTCAGGAGCCTGTGCCTGGGCCCAGAGACTAGGGAGGCTCAGCTCACAGATAGGGGCCACTTCTTCCTCCCCCCCCAGGACGGACAGCCAAAAGACCGGGCAGGAGCTCAGACAGAGCTATTTTCCTAAGTCTCTTTCCGTTGAACGGTCCAGAGCCCCAAAATTCTGAGGGAAGGGTGGCACACTGCCCCGTTCACATCAGGGGATGATGAGGGAACGAAACCCCCCAATGTCCTGGGCCCTCAGACTCGGGATGATGAGGGAACGAAACCCCCCAATGTCCTGGGCCCTCAGACTCGGGATGAGAGCCTCCAGGATGTTTCTCCCACTGAGTCTGTACCTGAAGACCTGGGGCAGGTAGAGATCAGAAGGGAGGCAGGGAGGGATGGAAACGGGCAGGGCGTGTGGCACATGTACCCACGCTCACCCGCAATGGCCCTGGCCCGGCAGCCTCCCGTGGCCTGGCCCAAGATCACTCCTCAGTGAAGTCCCTGTCTATGTCCATGTAGGGCTCCTCGATATAGCTGACCAGGGCAGAAGGTGACTGACGGTCTGGGTTTAACAGGATGGACACTGTCTCCTTCCAGTATGAGAAGCTGATACAGGAGCTCTGGGTAAAAAGAGAGGAGCTGGGGGGAGTGGTGGTGCCTGGAGGACCCAGGTCAAGCCTGACTGGCACTCCACAGGATGGGGAGGGCCTTGGTAAGGGGACAAAGAGAAGCCTTCCCACTGCTCAGGTAAGGTCCATATACCCTGGATGCCCCTAGAATGAAGGGTCTTAGAATTGCATGCATACTGACTACCCACCACCCATTTGGGGTGGGGGACTCACATTCTCCAGGCAGGTGCTGTCCTTGTCCTTGTGCAGGTAATGCTGCTGCCAAAAGCGCAGCAGGTTGTGGAAGTTGTTGAGCAGGAAACCAGGATACTTCTTGCTGTGTTCCATCCGCTGCAAGAGCCGCAGGTATAAAGGCAGCCTCTCTTTCCGCCGGGCCAGCATCAGGATCACCAAGCTAGTGTTGAGACAGCTGACATTCTCCTGCAAAGCCATAGGCAGCCTGGCTGGGTACATGCCAGCAGGCCCATGGCCACTGGGCAGGCTGGGGCCTGGCAAGGTCCTGGGATAATCCATGGGTCACCTATTCACGGAGCTGCCCCATACACAAATATCCCCTATTTCATACAACCAAAGGCTGGGTGCACATGTTAGGTGCAGTTATCTCCCATTAGAACTTTCATGTTTCACTAGATTGAGCCTCAGGAGCAAAGTCTCTGTCTTGTTCACCAAGCATCTCCTGTCCAGGGCCTAGCTTCCTGACACGTTTTGCTAGATAACAAAATGAGAGACCCACCTCTGAGAGGTACTTAGGATTCCCCTTTTGGAAAAGGGTGTGAAACTGGAAGAAGGGAAGGCTGCCAGTTATTCTGTGAAGAAGTTGGGGAAACTCTCAGGTCCAATTCCATAGCCCAGCCCAGCTGGAGGATGAGGATGTAGAACATGGGGGAAGAGCACTAGACCGGGAGTCAGAATAATGTAGTGCCAATCTCCACTATGCCCCAACTTAAGTTTGTGATCTTAAAAGACTTGCTACCTCACCTTAGGCCTCAACTGTAAACTGGGGCCACTGGGCAAAGCCTTTGGAAAAGATGTACTTTTAGAATTGGGGGAGGAGGGGTATGGGGACACAGACACAGACATGCTGGGCTTCAGGACAAGGGAGATGGGTTTTTCAGCCCACTGTCTTCTATTTCCCATCAGCTGGGCCATCTCACCTGGGTCAGTGTCTGCACGTGGATGATGTTGATGAGGCGGAAGAGGAAGGACATCTGTGTGGGAACCTGGGATATATAGGCAAGCAGGCGGCACTCTGATAGGACCTCAGCCACTGTGGAGGGAGAGGGGTGTAGCAGCGAGATCAAACTCAGTGTGATTGGGCCCCTTTGACTATGGTAGGGTCCCCCTTGGGCTTTGACTCTGCAGCTGGGGCCTGTCATTGTCAAAACAACTATGATAAAAGCTGCTGCAGCAGGAATAATCTTCAACTGTTCTGTCACCAGGCTAAGCCAAGCCTGTGTTCTCAGAGCCTCTATGCTCAGGGAGCAGCCCTCCTGGCACCAGACCCCGGCTCCTCTGTATTACACACACAGTACTCCTGTAAGGAAGACAGACCCAGTGCTCATTAAGAAACACAGTGAAAGTAGTTCAAGGCACTTTCTAGAGCTCCTAACACAACTGATTTCCCACACAGCTCTTTTGTCTATCAGTGCCCACTGATGGGGTCACAGTGCACAGGAGGACTGAAGAAATAGCTTCCACATTTTCAGGGAGTAAGTAGGGCAACTGCTAACTATACCAAAGTACATGTGGCCAGTTCCTGAAACAGACCTTTATGGCAGAAATAGGAGGCAAATGGTTAAATTACTAAATGAAAAGGATGCTTCTTGCTGTTAATGACAATGACTATGAAAAGGGATAATTGACTTTTTTGGAGTTCACAAACATGAGAATCTGCTGGATGTCACAGACCCTCTTTAGAGAAAAAAAGCACATGTGCACACACATGTACATGGAAGTGTACACACAATTCTAGGCAAGGTCATACAACTCCACCTCAAGTACACATACACCCCCCAAGTACCTAGGAAGACAGACAATTCATTCCAGGCAATCCCAGTGCAGAAGACGAAGGTGGCTTTTTGCATTTTCTTAGTGATAATGGCTTTTTTCCTTTACCAAATGTTGTAGATACTCATTAAACGAAGCATGAACAATAGTGAAAAGTCAACACAGTTAAGCAAATCAGCCAAGACCACCCACCTGACACCAGACACATAGGCCTCTGGGCTGCTACTCCAGCCATTTCCATCTCCAGGAAATGGCTGACATCAGTACAGTCACACTGTGCCCACTTCCCTTGGCATTCCTGTCCTTTTCTCACCTTTCATGTCCACTTGGTTTTCAAATCGGTCCAATGACAGAGTGACACAGCGCACCAGCATGTTGGAGTCCACCAGAGAGCTGTTAATCTGCTTGAGGAACACCTGGAACTGTAGCAGAGTTGGGGCTCATCAGAGGCAGGGGCTGCTAGCCTGGGTCCAAGGTGGTCAGTCACCACCAGGGGTATCAGAGATCCTCTACCCAACCCGGCTGCTTCCCAGAAAGACAAATGGAGAGTGACCTGCTTTCCCTGCCACGCACTAAGATCTTGTTATACTGTTCAGTGGTTTTGCACCAAGGGTGCCAGGCTCTTCTAAACTTCACTTCAACTAATCTCAGTGTGTTTTTGACACATACCCTCCTGGGAACTTTACAAGCCAGGCGCAGTACTCCGTTCTGGGTTCCCCACGACAGTACCCATCACACTGCACCCCAGGAGTTTCACAACTCACCTATTCCTACCCTCACTCCCCAACATGCCACCAAGATTTTCATACCTGTATCCCCAGGGGCTGCCACAGAGCTCAGCACAGAGTAGATGTAATGAATGTTTGCCCACTGGATCCCAGAACTCTCCAACCGCAAACCCACACCTAAAGACTGGCAGGCTGGGGCCCTAGACAACTTGTGAGGCTGTGGCAAATGCCATGGGGCCTTAGGCTCACCTTACCTTTGCATCAGTGTTGATGTATTTATTGAATCTCTTGAATGCATCAACGTTAAACTTCATCAGCTCCCCTAGGAGGTCGAAGTAGCTCTGAAGCACATCCCTTGATTTGCACTCGCTGTCCACAATGCAGTATAGGATGTGCTGGGATGAAGAGGGGAGAGGGTGAAGGTGTGGAAATGGCTGCCCTCCATCTGTCTCCCACCCGGGGCTGGTATGGAGCTCAGACCACACATTTGCTTCAAGGAAGTATCCAAATGGATGGAACCTGTAGCCTTGTCTAGGTTTTTCTCTGAGGATGCTGGTGGCTCCAAGGACAGAGCCAGGTGACAGACCTCAGCAGGAGGTCAATGGGCTGGGTATGTAGCATTTTCCCTCTCTCACCTGCCCAGGGCTCACAGCTGAAGCCTGTAACCTGCTCTGTGGTCACCAACATGGCCAGAACTCTCCAGCTCCTGGGTGGGATAGCTGTCTCAAGATCTCACACTGGCTACCCAAGAAGAAGGGCCACTCCATAAGGGAAGGACAGAGTTTAAGTACACATGACACATTTTGACCCCATGGGTTTTGTTTAGGTTTATGAGTGTAACTGTTTAAAATTGGTATCAAAATCAATGAATTTTTATCAAGAACACAAAGCCAATTTAAACTGTTTCCAACATTTTCCATTTTCTTTATTTATTCAATTCCAGGTCAGACTGGTCTGGAACTTACTGTGTAGTCCAGACTGGCATCAAACTCTTGATACTCCTGGCTCAGTTTCCCAAGTGCTGGGATAACAGGCATATGCCACCATGCTCAGCTCATTTTCCTGAAGTTATATTGATTTGGATCCATTCTTTTCCATATGGATTTTTATAACAATTCATGGGTCAGTTTCTTGTCCTATCAATTTTTTTTAAAAACCAATTATAACTGGTCATTTTGCTCCCTTTTGTAAATTTTGTTTTTTTCTGCTGGCCATTAATTAATAAAGGAAAATTAACTTTTAGCTGATACCAAAATATCCTCAGGGTCAAAAGGCTTTGCTGATTAATTCTGGATTCTTAACCTCTTACGCAGGCAGCCCCAAGTTCCACAATCACCCCTTAAGCACCCATGAGGAGCCCACAGTTGGAAACCCAGGGCAAACACTAAGACAACCTGTACTGTCATTTTAAAACAAGAAGACTTGGTCTGTTCCTGATGAACCGTTTAGGGCTCAGGACAAGAAAGCAATGCACGGGGCTGGGGGAGAATGACCACCCGACACCCTGGCTCCACCAGGCCATACCTCCAGAAGGCCTCGCTTCAGCAGGAACATCTGGTCTGCATAGGAGGTGGTCCCTCGAAGGAAACTCTCCACAGCCCGGGCTTGCCAAAACCTGTGACCCAAATGTTGACTCCTGGCCCAGGCAGCTAAGTCTGCCTTCTCCTGGCCCAGGTTTAATTCCCCAGCGGTTGGGAGATGTTTGCTCCCTATTCATTCATTGGACATTTACTAAACATCTACCAAGCTTCAGGCCCCATCCTAGGACTTGGGGATGCAGCAGTGAGCAAGAGAACCCTGATTTTCATGGAGTTGACAGCTCAGTAGGGAACAGTCTTCTGTGTATGTCTGGAGGGGTTTGTATCACAGAGAAAGTAGTATATGAGATCAAAGAGTGGGCTCTAGAAAATTCTATATAAAACACTCTAGGCTTTACATTTTCAGAAGACTGGAAGGTCATGGACGTGGGGGGTCAAGAATATGTGTGAGAAGCAGAAGGGCATGTATGGATGGGCCACCAAGCTCACATGCACTGGGATGACCTAGAAGAGAGGTGGCTAATACTGACTGAGTGGCCCAGAGGGCCACTGAAGGCAGGCTGAAGTGACAGGGACCCACCTGGGACAGGGCCTACTGAAAGCTTCACACCCAGCCCTGCTGGAACTCCTCCTGCCCACAGCCTTCATGACTTGTTTCTGAGAAGTCTGAAACTCTGAGCAGGCCTCCCCATCTGCCCACCCCTGCCAGCCTTGGCAGGGAAAAGGAGTTCCTGGGCCAGCGTCTGGCTCCATTCCTTTCTGTGCTGCAATAAAGCAGGTTTCTTTCTTTTCATACTTGTTTCTTACAACCCCAGGGAATGCCACATGGGCAGAGCCTATATCCCATCTCTCTCCCACCACTCTAGTGCCAGTCCAGACTAGATGTTTGGTGACTATTTGGTTTCCTCCTGACATACCCTGCAGGCATGTGGCAGGAACACAGAGACACTTACCTGCTGAGTTACACAAAGCCAGTCACTCCTCCAACAGTGAATGCCCTTCAGAGGTAGACATTGGGAACTAAAGGAGGTATTCCTAACCACTTAGGAAAACACCTTGCTCCTGGGTCCCTCAGAAGTGGCAGGTGCCAGTCCTCAGACTCACCTGAAAGATGACTCTGCTGGTTCCTTCTTCATGACTTGCAGCAGTCGAGTTAATAAGCCCCTCTTCCCATCACACACCAAACTCCTGAAATAAAGATGAGCATGAGTGGCAGATCTAAGAGGTTGACAGCGGCCTCTGGGCTGGTCACTCTGCTGGCTTAGGTAGGTAAAAAAAAACATGCAGACATTTCTAAGTCTGTATTGGTGCCCTCATGCTCCACCTTGGTTCAGAGCCCCAGAGGCTTCCAGAGTCATCAACTGAACAGCTGAGTGTATTCCCACTGGACCTCAGGCCAGCTTTCCCTCCCCAGACCTGCTGGCAAAAGGCAGAGACACATCTAGAACCAGGCGAAGCTCACAAATGTTGAAGGAAGGGCCAGTGATACAAGTGGGTTTGAGATAGGCCATGACAGAGTTTAACAGATGGGGCAAAGTCTGTGCCAGTTGTGTAAGGTGCCAAGGTTCTTCCTTCCTTCCTGCTCCAGGTTCAGTTCCAGCTGGGCAGTGGGCAAGTACCCTCACCTCTAGGCCTCACTTTCTCAGTGTATGAATCAAAGGCTGTAAGTGAGGAAATGACTCAGGCCCCATCATAGAGAAAAGCAGATGGTAAAGCTAGCAGGGGTCTGGGCCCTTGAACGCTCATCAAATACATTCTCTACTTTCATCCCCAAAAGTCATCAAGACAGGATTTATACCCAATTTCATCTGAAATTGAGGCATTCTCCTGCCTTCAAAAAAAGGTTGGGAAATTATAGCTCTGGTTGCTACATAATGTTCCCGCTACTCTGATTCCTGTGAAATTGTCATCTCATTGTTCTTCTCCAGAAGATGAGGCAAACATAATCAGGTAACAGGAGTTAACTCTTGGCAGGGGGTGAAGGGGCCTGCTTCTGTTTGCCCTGCTTGGCACACTGCTACCAGCAGGAAAGGAGTACATCAGCAAAGGTGCTCTGTTCCTGTGACAAGGAGAAGGGACATAACACAGAAGACTTTTGGCAGGTGGCCTCTGTCCCTCATCTGTAGGGAGGGGGTGATGATGGCACCCCAGGGCTGCTGTGAGACTCAGTGAGAAAAAGCAGGGGGCATCAGTGTCTGGCACACAGGAACCCTCAGGACACTGTAGCTCCATGTAAGAAAGGGTAAGTAAGCATACCTGTGTGTGTCTACCTATGAGCCCTATGGCCACAGCTGCCCCACCAAGCTCACCTGTCAGTATTGAGGACAGCTTCCACCTCAGGGATGTTTGCCTTGAGAGAGATGGCACTGAGTTCATTCAGTTCCTGGTTGTTGAGTAGCAGATACTTATTCCTGAAACAAATGAGTTTGAGGGGGTAAAGGCTGGGAACTGGGGCTGCTGAGCAGCACTGTACTGGGGCAGGGAGTCAGTCTGCTGCCTGCTTCCTGCAGGCAGAGAAGCTGAGACTCCATCAGCACCTCCCCCAGGACTTCTTACTGCTGGCATCAGCATTCACTGAAGGGCACCCTGGGCCTGCCAGCCACATTCACTAACAAGGCACTTAGCATCTCCAGGTCTTTCTGTTGCCCACTGACCATTCTTTTTTTTTTTTTTGGTGGGGTTTGAACTCAGGACTTCATGCTTGCTAGGCAGGTGCTCTATCACTTGAGCCATACCTCTAGTCCCCCACTGACCATTTCTATTTGATGTCTCAAAGGACCTGCATCTCTGCATGTCCAATTCCACCTGTCATCCTGCTCCTCAATCTTGGTCCTGCTGCAGCATTCTCAGCAGCCACATAGTCACATAAGCAGAGGCCTTGTCAGCTATGACATACCCACCTTCCCCTCCAATCCAGGCCTGCCATCACTTAGGTCCTGTACATAGCACCAGCTTCTTAAACAGTTTCCCATAGGAATCAAGTCCTTACACAACTCCTAGAGTGGTCTTTAGAACAGGAATGTGACCCTGACATTCTGTTTAAAATAAGTCCCCTACTTCTTACTAATTTGAAGTATATAATATCTATGACTTTGAATATGACCCACAGGCACTGTGTAGCTAGACCACTAACTACCTCTGATATGCCTTGAGTCCAGACCCCCTCACTTATACTTCCTGGCCACCCCAGTTTTCCTGACCATGTCAAGCTCCCTCCTGCAGGAACTTCCGCACACGTGAGGCTTCTGGATAGAACACTTACCCTCTCATGCTGCTTCTTCACCCTATTTGCTACTACTGACATTTCAAGCCTCAGCTGACAAATTACTTCGACAGGGAAGTCACTAAAGCACCTACTGGCCAGTCAGGACCCCGCTAACTGTCACAGAATCATGCTTGTTCTCCTAACTACTATGCTCCCTTCTGAGACTACATCTTTCGTAACAGCAGGGTCTGTGCCTGTTTTCATTCATCATTGTATCCCCCCAAACCTGGCAACAAAAGTGCTAATTTAAGCACTTTTGATGAAAGCTAGGGACTTAATTCCTCAAAAAACAAATCCCAAAACAAAAGCAAACAAGCAAACAAAAACCCAGTGCATTTTTGTAACCTACTGGTGCCCTAAGCAGAGACACTCTCATGAGGACCAGTCACACATGGGAAACAAGCTATAAAGCCGAGGCCCCTGGCCACATTTGTTCTCAGGCATGTATTAGCTAATATAATGTTCCAAAAATATACACCAACATTTAAAAATCAGAACTTGATCCCCAGCACCAAAATAAATAAATAAAACAAAAAAAACCCAAACCAAAATAACCCCAGGATCTTTCATATAATTCTTAATTTCTGGCTTTCCTTGGGGGAAAAAAATCAGAAGCTATGCAAAAGTGGGCAAGGTTCCCTGTACACACACAGTTGCTGAAGCTGACCTGTAGTCTGTTGTACTAGGTTCCCAAGGTCCCTGCCATAATGCCAAGGTCAAGGGGCAACTTATTGTTCCCTGAATGTACATTTTCTTGGACATTCTCCATCAAAGATTGAAAAATAAAAATGAGAAGGCAGAATGTATCTGAAGAAAAATGGGAGAAGAGTACATCTTGTTATGGAGGGAAGAACCCCCCATGTGTTCAGTTGGTGGCTCTGCCTGTCTGAGGTTCAGAGGCCAGTTAGTGGAGGGATGTGTTGGTTCCAGGGTAATGAGGAGCAACTTCCATCTTACCCTTAGGGCAGTCGTGAGGACTGAGAGAAAGCTCAGCACCTGGCAGGAAAGCAAACTAGACAAATGATAGCTCTTACTTCAGGACCAAAGAAGTACAGTCACATTTGATCACATGAAGGAGACGGGGGCTCTCAATAGCTCCCATGTTCTCCTCCTGAGCAGAGGTCAGTGACAGGACAAGGAGAGAGACCTTTGAAAGACACCCCAACAACCCCCCTGCAGGGACAGACGTACTTACTCGTGGTGGTCGCTGAAACTCTGGAGAAGCCTCAAAAACTGGATCTTTAAGGTGATGTCCTAAAATATATGTTAAAACCACAGCAGTCACAGTGTTCCCAAATAAGAGGAAGCCAAGGCTCCGGTGAGAACCTGGGAATGTCATTCTGCTTCTCTGAGCCTCTGTCTTTATGTATAATGAGAACTTTTCTTTAGTTGGAAAACTACGTGGTCAAACCTCCACATACAACTGATGACAAGTCAAACTTATGCACATACTTCCTGGAAAACATCCCCACATACTGGATTAAAAATCACCAAAATTCTTTTAAATGTGATGTTTAATTCCTAAGTTAGAAGGGGAAACTTGTAGAAATGAGAAATGCAGAAAAGCCTGAGTCCAGATACTGGTGCTAAGGGTGGTGTGTGGAGTAGGAAGGGAAGCCTTGTCACATCAGGGCTGGGATTCCAATGATCTGCTATGACCACACAGAGCCTTGGGTCTATGCAAAAAGCTACGCTGTGGATCAGAGAGCTAGCAAAGAAGCCTGTCTGCCCAAGGGCACCTGATGGGAGCCTCTTAGAAGTGGAAACCCAGGCTCACCCTATTAGAGCAGTAGGGCGAAAACATTAAATATGAAAACTGGCACTGGGACAGATGTACTCCTTAAAGTACCTGGCAGACAAAAGCAAATTGCCCTGTAGAAACACTTCCAGGGCTGAGGTTACACAGATCCCCAGGGAAAGCAAGACCCACTAAAGATGGCCTTTCTACAAACATTACATACTTTTATTTGAAGTATGTAATGTTTTATTTGAAGTATGTATGTAGTATTTTATTTGAAGACCCAAATAAAAGCTTTGGTACCCCATGAGCAACTGAAAGAGATTATAAGAGAATAAGTAACAAACTAGTAAAGAGATAACATATAGCAGAGGATACAAGACATTCACATGACAAATGTGAATATGACCAGAAAAACCAAGTAGTTTTTTAGGTCTTGTCTCGGGTTGGTACCAGTGGGATGGGGGAGGATATAATGAAAGGGTGCAGGAGGGTGAATATGGTGAAATATTATTTACTCATGTATGAAAATGGAAAAATGAGACCTGTTGAAACTATTCCAGAAATGGGGGGAAGAGGGGATAAAGGAGAATAATGAAGAAGATGAATTCATCTATGATATATTTTAAGAACTTTTGTAAATGTCACAATGTATCCCCTGTACAATAACAACAACAAAAAAAAGCAGTTTTTGAAAAAGAGCCAGACAGAATTCTAGAAATGCAAAATATATTCTCTAGCAATTAAAAACTCAAATGGCTGGGCACAGTGGCTCACATCTGTAGTCCTAGCTACTCAGGAGGTAGAGATCAGAAAGATCATGATTCGAGGCCAGCCTGGGCAAAAATTTGAGAGACCCCATCTCAACCAATAGCTGGGCATGATGGCACATGTCTGTCATCTCAGCTAGGAGATTAACATTAATAGAACTGCTGTCTAGGCCAGCCTAGGCATAAATGTGAGATCCTATTTGAAAAACAACTAAAGTAAAAAGGCCTGGATGCATGGTTCAAGTGGTAGAGCATGTGCATAACTAGATAAAGATCTTGGGTTAAAAAAAACAAAAACAAAAATCAAACAAACAAAAGACTCAAATGGACAGACTAAAAGGGAGTCTGTCCCCAAGGTCAAAGGGAGAAATGGTAAAGTGGGAGGCAGGACACTAAGTCCCCAGAATGCAGAGGTCAGGGGGCCCTGTGGCTGTACCATATTTGGAGGTCCCAGAGCACTTTACCTCCCAAGCCACTGGGCAGGCCACTACCTGAGCCAACAGACTTATGATCTGCCTTTTCTTTACAAGAAAACAGGCTCAGAGACTCAGTGACTTATTCAAGCTCTCCCAACAAGCTGAGTGGCAAAAGGCCCCCAACTCCCAGGTCAGTGCTCTGTCCAGGGCATTGTGGGACACACAAAGTAGAGGAGAGCTCTTGGTCTCAAAAAAGCTAGGACCATTAGTGATGCATGGTGCCTAGAGGCAAACCCAGTATCAGAGGACAAAACACCACATGAGGGAAAATCTGATGTTAGGTATGGGAATGGTGGCCCTGCCTAGAGGGAAGTGAGACCTCCACGTCAGAGGTGTAAAGGGCCCAAGGTGGGGAACCCCTTAAAAGAGATTTCTACAAGGTGGAAGATGTGGTACAGATCCTGCCAGTTATGGGATCATAAAACATGACTTTCAGTTTTTACTGTATTTTCAAGAGCAAGGTCACAAGGTCAGCAGCAGGTCTCAAAACTACTACTTGTAGCAAATAAAGTCACAAATGTCCCCGGGGTCCCTTGCTTACAGGGCTGCAGTCACAGTTCTGGTTGTGACCATGGAGGACAAGGGCAGATGCTGAATGTTTCCTCCAAATCAGCTTGTCAAACAAATTATTGAGTCCAGGGATCAGCTTGAACTCGGCAATCATCCTGTGGACCTGGATGGGCAGAAAGGGAGAAGCATTGAGACCAATATGTTTCCAAAATTCAATAAAACCTCATGCTCTACACAGACAACCATCTTCAGGATGAAGAAAGCAACAGTCAGTATGAAGTGCTGAAGAAAACATCCACACAGCCTGTGTCCCTGACAATATATAAATACCTTTTTACTTTGCTCATTACCTCTCACTACTTATAAGTCACACTGTGTGGAAGGACCTAGCTTAATAGGATGAGTTTTGGATTTAGATAGTCCTGGATTTACTCTTAGCTCCACCATACGTGAATTCTGTCATCTTTTTCCTCCTCATATCATTAGGATGAAAATATGCCTTTGCACTAGAAAACATTTCAACTGGAGACAAGATAACAAATACTAAAAAGCAAAACTGTAATGATCCTAGAAAAATGTTATGTGAAAACTTAAAAAAAAAAAAAAAAAGCCAAGAGTAGGAAAGCTTTTCTAAAGTTTTATAGGAAACCTAGAAGCCAAGAAAGAAGTTTTTAACATTCTCCATGGCAAAACTCATAATAAGCTGTATGTACGGAAATATCACAATGAAATTTCTCACTTTGTGCAATTAATATGTGTTAATAAAAATGGTTTAAAAAGCTGAGCATGGTGGTACACACCTGTAATCTCAGTTATGTGGGAGGCATAGGTAGGAGGACTTTGATTTGAGACCCTATCTGAAAAATAACTCTATTTATTAGGAGGCAGAGATAGGAGGATCATGGTTTGAGGCCAGTCCGGGCAAACAGTTTATGAGACCGTATTTCAAATACCCAATACACACACACACACACATACACACACACTCAAAAGGGCTGGCAGAGTGGCTGAAGTGGTAGAGCACCTGCCTAGCAAGCATGACGCCTAAGTTCAAACTCTAGTATTACCAAACAAAACAAAACAAAACAAAAAAAAAACCTAACTTTTTTTTGAGTGTGACTCAAGGCCTGCTAAGATAAGCACAAGGCCCTAAGTACAGTACCCAAATACTGTAAAATAATAATAATAATAATAATAATAAAAAATTAAAATACTTCGAGGTCAGCCTGGGCTACACAATAAGCAAAGTCATGAGTCAAACATGACAAATGGAGAACATATACTGGCAACTTATGTCACAGGCAGAAAAAATTTCCTATATAAGGAGTCCTATAAATCTCTTAAGACAAAAAAAACTGCTTCCACAGGGGGGCAAAATGGAGAAAGGATATAGATTAGGAATTAGAAAAAGTTTTAAAATATATCCAAGGAGATCAACCTACTGTTAACAGAAATTCAAATCCCAACCAATTTTTTGCTTTTTCAGATAAGCAAAGGAGACAAAATTTTATCTGCCTTTGGCATCAATTTGGTGATTTGGGCACCAGACAGGTTCACATGTTGCTGGAGGAGAGCATATTAGTACCACCCACACAGGGAGGACAGTTTAGCAATATCTTCAAAAATTACAAATCCAGGCTGGTGGTGTGGCTAAAGTGGCAGAGTGCCTGCCTAGTAAGCACAAAGTAGTTCTGCCAAAAAGTTAAAAATTAGCAGTTCTTTTTCCTATATATTAGTTTTTTAAATATGGAAGAGGTATAAAAAGAAGTTTAATAATCAAATAAAGGCAAACTATTTTCATCTGTTGATATCTTAAAAAATTACAAACCCATATTCCACTTGATCAGCAATTCTTTTATTCCCCAAAACAGATATATCCTATACTTCCATCATGGGGATTAATTAAACAAATGATGGTACATCCAAATGACTGGACAAATGGCACCAGTATCAAAGTCTTTTCCATGTACTGAGTTGAATAATTGCTGAGATTATATATATATCTATATCTATGTGTGTGTATACATATATATGTACACATACACTTTTTTGGGGGAGTGGTACTAGAAATTTGAACTCAGGACTGTACTTGCTAGCTAGGTGCTCTACTAGTTAAGCAATACCTCAGCCCACAGACATATATTAACAAATCAAGTGTGTACATGCTCTATTTGACTGTGAAAAAAATTGCATTTGCTTTTACAGCATAAAATATCTCAAAAGGATATACTAACAACTGGTGAAATTAGCTGCTTCATGGAATACTGAAGATCAAAGGGAAGACAGGCTTCACAGATACTAATTTATATCAACGATGAGAATTATTTGCCTATTATTATTATTTACATAATATGAAACATGACTGCCTATTACATAGTTGGTCAGAGAATGTATGTGTGATAAGAGAATAGTCCCTCTCAGTTATTGCTGCTCTACAGGGCAGGGAAGTTCACCAAGACCAGCCTGAGCGAGGTTGGCCAGGGAAACGCCACTTAACCCAGGTGTCTTACCCTAAGCTCTGTCTGTCTCTTTCCAACCCTCCACCAGCATCATAAACCATGGGAAACCAAATCTGACAAAGGCATTGCCTGCAACCTCCACTCCTGTAAACATGCACAGGCAATTGAAATCTGACAGAACGAGGGTCAATGTGAAATGATATCTGCTCTGCTGCCTATGCCTCTACTGATAAACTCAGCCTGGTCTACCTTGCCCTGCTTAACTGGGAGTTGGAAGGTGAGGCTGACACCTATGGCAGTTACTGCGTGTCTTCCTGTCTTATTCCAAACCCTAAGCTCTGCCAAGGGCACACTGCAATGGCTCCCAAAATTCATCCAGTCCAATGGCCTCCTTGTACCAATAAGAAGCCTAGGCTCAAGATTAGGGCTGAGAGCACAGTGGTGCACTACAGTCTCAGTTACTAGGGAAGCTGAGGTAGGATGATCACTTGAGCGCAGGAGTTTGAGTCTAGTCTGAGCAACATAATGAGGTCCTATCTCAAAATAAAAAGATTAGAAAAGAGGGGCTTTCTGAGGCAGACCTGGACCTGATTCTGGGTCTCTTGAAGTCCAGGTCAGTAGTAGGTTTGAAGTTTCCTTTTTCTTGTGGGGAGGTGTGCAGAGCTGGGGTTTAAATTTTAAACTCAGGGCTCGACACTTAAGCTGTGCCTCCACCCCTTTCTGCTTTCAGTTATTTTTCAGATAGAGTCTTGTGCTCTTTCCCCCTGGGTGGCCTCAGACTGCAGTCCTCCAACTTATGCCTCCCTCTAAGCTGTAATTACAGATGTGTACCTCCATGTCCAGCTTGTTTGTTGAGATGGGGTGGGGGAGTTGCCTCACTAACTTTTTGACTGGGCTGGCCTTGAATTGAGATCCTCCAAACCTCTGTCTCTCAAGTAGTTGGGATTATAGGCACATACCACTACGCTCAGCTGATATTTCTTCTATGCTACTTTCCTTTTCTGTTGAAAATACTAGTTTTCTTCACCTGTCTAGCCAATTTTATTAGTCAAATGCATCATTTCTACTCTCAGGTCTAGCCCCTTGGTTGACTTCCCATGGGATGGTAGAAAGCAAGCAAGGGGTCAGAACAGATGCCACTCTACCACAGGAGGCAGGCATGAGCATTCAGGCTTTAGGGCCGTCACCTCTGGGCTCATGAGTTAACTCTGTGACCTTAGGCAATGTTCTTTGAGTCTTAGTCCCTTAAAGGATTATGGAAAACAATGGAGCTGCTGAAAGGGCTCAAGGAGGTAATGTTGGAGAAAGTTCAAGGCACCAGGGGGAAATATCTATTATACTGATTAGTGCCAGAGGAATGAAACTTAAGGCACTGCGCAAGTGCTTCCAGTCTTACGACCTCAATTTGGATAAGACTAGTCAGAGAACTTGTACATTAACAAGAAGGCCACTTTAAGGAGGAAGACTTCCTTGAAGCCTGGTCAAGGAAACCCTTCCCCTGCTTACCTAGTCTGGACAGGATCCGTGAACCTCTTGTTCCCACAGTGGCTGGCACACAGTAAATGGTTACTGTACCACAAGAGTGTGCTGACACAATGCTGGTTCTCAGTGGAGCTGTATTTCAAAGGTGCCAGCAGTCCCTTCTCAACAAAGCAGTGCTGTTCTATAGTTTACCTGAGACCACACTGACTCACAGCAACCTGACAACAGGAAGGCTCAGGGAATAGAAGACACAGGGCAGTGGCACTTAAATCTTGGCTCTCCCAATGCCTGGCCTTTGAAAGCCCAGCCCATTTTGTACTCTTGTTTTCTTAAGCATCAAGTGTGGGGAGAGAAGGGTTCTCCTACCTGCTGTGTAACTTACCAAACATCTGAAAATTCAAATGTGAATAATGGTGAAAATGCCTCATAAAAGTAAAAGCATTTAACACATGAGTCGACACCACAATTTTTTTTATAAGAAATGTTCTTCACTGAAGAAAGCAGCACCAGCATGGGATGCAAGCATGGGCCCCTATCATGTAGAGGGCTCCCAAAGTTACTCTTGCAGCCCTGACCTCTCCCCACCTTTAGCTGAGGTAATGCAAGTGCCAACTGGAACAGACACCTCAAACCTACTTTGTCAACAATGCACTCCTCATCTTTCTTTCAAGCCTACTCTCCACTCCTCACCTCTAGTCTTAACCGTCTTAATAATCCACTCTCCTGCTTGCTTAGGCCAGAAAACTTGGGAGTCCATTCTTAACTCCTCTCCTCTCTTATGCAAACCATTAGCAAATCCCATCTGCTCCATCTACAAAATATGTCCAGAATGCAGCCACTTCCCACCAGTCCCCTTCAACCATGGTGCTGGCTCCTAGATACTACCTTTGGCTCAATTAATCCCCAAGGGGTCTCCCTACTCCCATTCTTGTTGTTTCCAATCTTTCACACAGCAGCCAAAGGAACAACTTCTCACTGTACTCAGAATAAAAACCGGAGTCTTTTAAATAGCCTTTGACAGCCCAATGCAAGCTGGCCCCTGACTCCTCAGTCCTTCTTTCCAGTCATCCAGTCCAGTTTCCTTTTCATGCCAGCAACTACGAGGCCCACTCCCACCTCAGAGGCATTGCTCCCTCTAGCTGGGAGGCTGCCTCAGACCTTGGCATGCCTGGGTCCCTCACTTTCCTCAGGACATCCCTATTCCAAAGTCCTGGTCATCCTACCTAAAACTGTTCTTCATTACTACAAAGGGGTTAATTGCACGTCTGCCATCCAGAGTTGTTCTGACAGTCCAGTGCCTGACTGAGAAAGATGCACGAGGGTTGTTGAATGTCCAGCCTTTCCTCCTAGACGTCTACCCTCTCTGCATGCCTAGTTTCTTTCCTAGGAGGGTGGTGTAGTCAGGAGACAACTACTTCTCATCAGTCTTGAGGAGATTTCCAAGCCCCCTTTCTCTCATTAGGTTATGGGACTATTATGGCTTGGATATGAAATATCCTCAAAGACTCGGTCCCATAGTAGTGTTCAGAGGTGATTGGATCATGGGGGGGCTCTAACTTCATGAGTGGATTAATCTATTCATGAATTCATAGCTGATTTGACTACTGGAGGTGGGGCCTAGTTGGAAAGAGTAGATCACTGGTCCCTTCCTGTTCCCCTCCATTCCTAGCTGCCATGAGGTAAGCAATTTTGCTCTGCCATGCCCTTCAGTTATGATGTTCTGTCTTAACAAAGATTCAAAAAACAATGAAGCCAGATGACCATGGACTTAAACCTCTGAAACTGAGCTGAAATAACATTTTCCCTTTTTTTTTGATGGTACTGGGGTTTGAATTCAGGTAGTCAGGCCCTTTATCACTAGAAAACTAACACGCAGACCTTGCCCCTCCCACCTGTTTCAAGGTTCAGGAAACTCCAGGACATCTGGAACTCCCACATTTTCCCAGGTTTTATAAGTGGACACAGCTCTGGGCCCTGTCCCACCATTATGAGTCCACATCAGATTGGAAACTCTTTCAATGCATTACCAGTCCTGTCTTTATTCTTAATCTTATTGAAATAAGATGCCTGCTCCTGGCCCTGTGTACCAATGCTGCCTAGGAATTCTGCTACATCAAGGTGCAAAGGAACGACTCTAAGCTCTGAATCAGTCTGGTTTCCTTATGAGAAGGAAAACACCACATAGATTTGCTGGGCTAGACTGAGCACCATCCTAAGAGAAGGCCTGAGGGAGGTGTACCTGGCACACCACAGCCAGGAGCATTTGCTCCTAGCTCTCCCATTCTGAGTTGCTGGGGAAGTACCCACCTGGTTTCGCTGACGCCCCATCAGCAGTACACAGAGGACATAGAGCACTTCCAGTTTGTACATGATCTCGTGCATAATCTTCATCGATTGGGGCAGCTGGGTTCTGGCTGAAGTGTGCGGCAGCCCATTTTCCTCAGAGGTGCCTGGAGTAGGGAACACAGTAGAGGCTGACACAGCCCCCAGGAGAGGTGTTAGTCACAGCTCGTGAGGAAAAACATTCTGCTCTCAAAGCTGCCATGAACAGAGCCATTAGACTAGGGCCAAAACTTTGAAAGCCACAAAACTCCCTCAAACCACCCCCCTCACCCCCCACCATGGAGCCTGGCAAGCTTAGGAACGTTCCATGAGGGCACCCTGCTGATGGCTTGAGATGGATCATTTTGGAAGATCACCCATCTGCCAAGGAAGAACCATCTAAATCTTTCTAAGTCTCAACTTCCTAAAGCAAACCGGGTTTCATAACTGGTAACAGAGAGAGAGATGAACATTACCGATCAGTAGATTTCATTTTTCCTAATCTCATCATCACTAATGCAGCAGGTAAGTGAAATGTATGGGACACTTGATACGTGTCTGGCATTGTACTTGAGTTGCAGGTAACCTGATTCATTTACCATACTTCTTGGTTAACAACAACAAAAAAATAAAACCTCTGTGGATTCAGATCACAGAGGAAGGAGTGTACCCTTTGGAAAGCAGGAGAGAAAACACAACAGAGGGAATGACAACTTTCTGGCTGTATGACTGGCCAAGTTACCTCCTCATCGGAGCACAACAAAAGCCAACCACCAAATTCTTAGGAAACCTCAGTCATCACGAGGTCTATTTAAAGAGGGCACTGGCCAGATTCATGAGAGGCTGAGTGACCTTGGGAGACTTACTTTCTCACAAGTTCCTCATCTTTAAGGCAAAAGGATGAATCATGAACTGCTAAGATCCTTTCAAACTGGTATTCAACCTGTTGCCCTGGAGGCCTTTTGCAAAGGCCAGAACTATGTGGTACAGAGTAGTTAAAATATATTCAGGGAAGGTTCACTCAGGAGGCATGGTGATTTCTGCAGTTGTCATGAAATAAGAACCTAACCTAGCACTGGCAGAGTGGCTCAAGTGGTAGAGTGTCTGCCACTTGTCAAGCATGAAGGTCCTGAGTTCAAACTCCAGTACTGCTCAGGTAGGCTAAAATTAGGGAAAATTTGGAACTCATAGAAAAATTTAACACTTCAAATTGGCTGCTCTGGCTCAGGGACTGCTCTCACCTGGCTGGGAACCACTCATTCCCTTTCCCGCTCATTGATTATTGGATGGGAATCACCTAGTTCCTCCCCGCCCATTGATTACTGTAAATTTTACAAGCACCAGGAAAAGAGAAGCACACCTTCTTGGTCTCCAGATTCCACCTGATCCATATCATGCTCCCTTTTGTACTTCCCTTTCCTAACTTTTAATAAACTCCATTAACACCACATGTCCTGTGATAGATTCTTCCCCGAAGGACACAAAGAACTTGGAAGTCTTCTGATCACAGACTGCACCAGTGCTGGTAACATTTGAGCGAGCCAGACAGAAGTTAAAAGTTAAGGCCTCAAGGTGTCCCTCTACCCACTACTTTGGAGCCAAGCATCACACCTCGGACTTGCTCCGAGGCCCTGAGGTCGCAGGCCCTGGTGGATGGACAATATTAACCATGTTGTCCCCATCTCCTGACGTGTGGGCCTCTCTCAGCGCATCAGTGTCTTGCCCCAGAGCATTCAGTTGGGAGATGCAAGGATGTGCTGCATTAGCCCACCCCCATGTGGCATGAGGCGTGAGGAACCTATGCAGCCCCACAATCCACCACTGTGGATGTGTTCTGGTAGACACACAGCCAGGTTGGGTGGAACTATGGGGGTGGCCAGTGCCACAGTTTAGCCATGACAGCTGCTGTTCCAAGCCTCAGGCTGGACTCCTCTTTCCTGGGCTGCCATGCTTCTGCACCCTTCTCTTTTCTCCTTCCCTTCCCCTCTCCTCTCTCTCTGACCCCCAAGCCCAAACAGCTATGTGGCCAGGAGGCATGCTAGCCATGGTGGCTGTCTCCCCAGACACTCGAGCAGGATCCCTCTAACCTGTCCCCTGCTATCGGTTGTCAGACAGGGTCTTGGAGGGCTAGTGAGGGGCATGCCCCACCTGACTGGCCCCAGGCCTTAAACTGCCTTCAGAAGTGTGCATTGATGGTTCTTGCATCCAGCAGGAGAAGATTCAGTTTAAGTGTCAGTAAAGTTTGTTGGGAAGGGAATACACTTCTAACAGACTAAAAGCAGGTTGTCTCTAAAGTGAGAACAATGGGGTCAGGTTTTAAGGTTGAAATATTTACTTAGAAACTTTTAATTTTGGGTCCTTTTGGCCCCTGGAGTGATTTTCTGAGTTGGGGGTCATTGTTTTATTAAAAGAGACATTGAGTAACTTACTAGTTCCTGCTCTAATTGACAGAGAATTTCTGACTAAAATTCCTAACCTTTCCTCTGTCTAGCTCCCAGGTTTGGGTCTTTATTTTGTTAAATTCACTTGTGGAAACCTTCCTTCTCCATGTTTAAGATGTGGATTACTCTTGGGTAGAGAGCGAGTTAAGCGAGTTAATTAGTGTCTAACTTTAGAACTTCTTGTTCTCTAAACTCTAGTTATCTGATCTTAAAAAGAGATTAGTAGAGTTGGGAATTTAAAATGATTTCTTCCTGTCTTCCTCTCATGGTCACCGCTTATGCCTACCTGCTAACTATAAGAGGGACCGGGAACAAGTGCACACGTCCTGCCTTTCAGCAGCAGCCTGGGAGCATCAGCTTGGAGGCCGAGGCTTGTGGTGCTGGCTCTCCAGACCCGTCTGTCAGCATGGGCTCAGAAGCCCTGCCTAGCCTGCCAACGCATCCTAGACGATCAGCAGAGTCCACCCAGCTGGTGCTGGCAGCAACACTGGCAATGGCAACTGCCTTTGCCACTGCGGGCCCCTGGGGAAGAAAGGAGCTAGCTTCAGGCCTCAGGCTGGACTGCTCTTTCCTGCAGCTGCTGTGGGCTGGCAGTCTTTTTCCTCTTCCTCCTTTGCTCCATTCCCTTGCCTGTCTACCCTCCATGCCTCTGTTTGCCATGGGTACCTAGTCCCAACTCTCACCCACACTCTGAGGTTACATTCCTTTGTCCCAGGTTCACCAGTAAGGGGCTGTTGGGTCTGGAGACCTAAGGCAGATGAGTGAGTATCCCATCTGCCCATGGAGAGCACTATCATTCATTCCTGCATCCTGATAAGGAGTTGTAAATTTGCATTTCTGCACCCTGAAGAGGAAATACAGGTTCTGATAGATGTGCCACAGGGCTGATGAGCAAAATACTCTCAAGATAGTTTCCCCTCCCCCATAAGGGGCAAACAGACCAGTTCACCTAAGAAAGCCTGTGAATCCACGGCCAATGAAAAGAGACTACCTAAGCCTTACCCAAACCCAGAGCTAAAATGGCCATAAAAGCCCCAGCTTTCACCTGAGCAGCGAACTACCAGCTTCCGGGCTCCGCTGCACTGTTCTAGCTGTAGTCTTTCCTTTCTCTCTAACAATCCTACTTCGGATACCGACTTTGGCTCATCAATCAGGGTCAGCTCTCTGGCCTGTAAAGGCCAGGACCCTTGACGCCATCCTGCAACACTTCAAACCAGCATGTAACAGGGCTGGCGCCCACCACTGATGGGATTAATGAGATTATTTGCCAGATTCTAAAGATAGTTTGTAAGTCTCCTTTAGGGAAGCTAACAAAGACCTGCCTGCCTAGCAAATGTGAGGCCACAAGTTTGCTTCCACCTAGTTTGCTTCAATTATTTGGTCTCTTTATCAGGAACTCATATGTGTAGTAACACCTGTGTCTCAGGGGGAGCTGTCTCTCATTCCTATAACAGGTTGCTATTTTGAGCTTGTATGCTGCATGTAATATGTCTTTGTGCTCCATATGAAAGACCCTTTCGAGAAGACCATGTGGTCACAGGAAATGCTACCACCATTATGAAGTTACTATGTGTCCAGAGCCATTTTGCCACTCCCTAGAGATAAAAACTCAGCGGGTGATGTCATCTTGCCATACTCTAGGAAAATAATAAATTGTGCTTAAAATTCTCTACATTAATATTATTTTTATACATGTTGTTTTCAATATGTTAATCTGTTAAGGATTGAACAAAGAATAGAACACTGTGTTAAAGATCTGCTATAAACTACTTAAGAATCTAGCTGGCTAACCTACTAAAATTAATCAGAAGAAATGATTTGTTTAAAAGTCACTCTGAATTAATGTGATTGTTTTGTGTGTCATTGTGTGTGTTTTCTGTGTGTCTTTGTGTCCTACCAATTATAGCCACTTAATTTTTACTTTTTTTGGGTTCATACATGTGTGCTTAAATTGACATTTTTTGGCATGCCTACATCAAAACATCTATGTGTGTATTTATATGTCTTTAGGATGATTCTTTTTTTTTTTTTTCATTTTTCTTTTATTATTCGTATGTGCATACAAGGCTTGGTCATTTCTCCCCCCTGCCCCCACCTTTAGGATGATTCTTAAACTACTTTTATAAAGTTAATGTATAAAACTGTTATTTGAAAAGTCATCCAAAGTTCTAATCCCAACAAGGCCTAACTATCCTCTTGCTTTAGGACTAAAAGAAAATTTATGGACAATAATCTCAATCTGTTTCATTATAGCATGAGTTTAATTTACATTTAATTCTTTTATAATTCAGTTTATTGACTCATGTATTCCTGTAGATTGCAATTATTAAAGAGACAGTTTAATTTATTTTTCTTCCTGAGTCTTTTAAGGCATAAGATTGCTAAGAATTCTATAAAAACAGTGTTAACTAAATTCAGGTTTTTACAAAGGCTGTTTCAAGATACAAATTAAGGTCTTAAAGCTTATAAGTTTATATATGTGTGATTGGGTTGGCTATAGTTTAAAGTTTGCCTAGAGAGTTTTCTGAGGTCAAATTTAAGGTATTAATGTGTATTTAAAAAATGTGTTTCTGTTTTACCAAAACAACTGCCAGGAATTTTTGGTGCTATTGATTGATACAAAATTTTATTAAAAGCAAACAAAAGTTCACCCTCCAGATAGGATAATAAAACCTTAAGTTTTTACTGGGTCTACTAAAAGATAATCTATC